TGAAAACAAGTTAATTACAATAAATATAATTCATGATATTCTTAATGATAAGGAGGGATGATACAATATTAATATTTTTAATCAACAATATAATATAAAAAATTAATACAGATTTTCAATCTTTCTTATGATAAATTATTTAGACAACTAATTTGAAAAGAAAAACAGAAAATGTTATTTAAATATATAAAGTAATATTTTGAAGGATAAAAATGAAGGAGATTTAATTCTGTTTAATTTAGATGATGAAAAATTTAGCAATCATTTTAAGCTTAAAATTATTAATAATATAAAAATTAGTATAAATACTTTAAATGTGTAGGTCGAATTCCCTTTTCTAAACTAAAGAAAGAGATTAACAAACAAAGATTCTATTATTTGAAGATTATTGATGAATAAAAAATTTACTATTTAGATGTAAATCGAATTGTGATGTCGAAGATTTTATAAAGCTACAAAAATAGAACTGATTATCAGAGTTAGAATAAGGAAAGAATCTTTTTTAATATTGAACTTAACGACAAATGGTTTATTTGAGCAAATAACTAAATGAAAGTTTATAAGATTTGATTAATAATTTGAAATTTAATGAAAAAGTTTTCAATTCTTTTTGATAATTATTATGCTAATTTCGAATCTATAAAATATTATGTAAGATAATTACATATTAGATAAATCAAATCATTTATTTTAGAAACTATATTAATTTGTATATTATTTAAATATTGATAAATTTTGATGAATTCTTAAATGATTGAGATATAAAAATTTCAAGATTTAGAGTATTAATTTTAATTGTTGAGTCTGATTTAAATTACTGACTGATAAGTTTTATCAAGTTATGAGTAGATCAGTAAAGTAATCTAAAATTGTTAATTGACCAACTTAATCTATATGAACTTTTATTTGATTCAAAAATAAAAATAAAATTTTACAAAATAATTTTCATCAATACAGTAAGATAGTTCTAGAATGTTTTCTTAATTTAGTATCAAAATTTTACAGTAATTTGAGATGCTTAAAATGAATTATTTACATTTATAATAAAATTCTCTATAAAAGTTTCAATAAGCTAATGAATTAAAGCAATCTTAAATTAGAAAAACAATTAGTATCACCTAGACAATAATGTTTGCTTCCAAGTCTTCACTATGATTACAGTGCAAGGAAAAAATAAAAATTAAAGACTTATTTTCGTGAAGAGAAATGTACATCCATAAGCCCAAAAAATCAGCTAATCAAAACATAGAGAGATATCATAAAGTAAATTGATTCTGAAAGAAATTCATAACTTTATTCTTTTGAAGATGAAGTTAGCAGATCTGTTAGAATATAAAGAAAGTCAAGATTGCATCAAGGAAATAAAATCTTAAATCATCCAATTATTAATAATAAACCTTTGTTAACTGATACATAAATTGAAACAGATACTCCATATTTTAAAGAAAAAGACTCTTCTATTAGTAAATCTGATGATGAAAATGATGAGAAAAATGAAAATAAAATTGATTTAAAACTAGAAGGTGAGACTGGTAAAGCTTTAAAATAAATAAGCCATAAAATAAGTATACTTATATTTATTATTTTAAGATCAAGAATTAAATAATTCATTTTATCATTTCATAAAAAAATCAGAGAAAATGAAAGATTTAATTCTAAATTTTTAACAAAAAGATAATCTGAGTCCAATTCATTACTATTGTTTAAATGATAGTATTTTTCCAAAAAGAATAGAACTTAATAAATAAGATGTTAAAGAAATTAATTTATCCGATTTAGGATTAACTCCAAAATATATTCCATTAATAAGGAATTTATTAAGTTAAAAAAGAGATAAGGATATAAAATCAATTGATATAAGTCAAAATAAAATTAATGAGTGGTCATTAAAGTTATTAATTGATGTTTTCCCATTAAAAGTCAAAACAATTAATTTATCGCTTAATTAATTAAACCGGAGAGGAGCAGTGCTTTTGTCAGAACATTTGAAAAACTTTTAAAAGTATAATACAATTATTACTCAGTCTGAGGTTCTTGAATTTAAAAGGAAATTAAATAGGAGATATTGGAACTGCAACAGTATTAGAGGCATTGAAATTTAGTTAGAAAATAAAAAAATTAAATTTATCAGATAATTCAATTTCTGATGCTATATTTAATGATTTAAAAGAGTTTATAATAAAAAACTAATCATTGTAAGTTTTAAGTTTGAATTGGAATTAATTAGGTCCAGTAGCAGGATTATTTATAGCAAAAGGATTGAATTCTAATAAATCAATTAGAGTTGTAGATTTAAGTTATAATAAAATTGGTTAAAGTGATAATAATTCTGAATGTATGAAGGAATGGTGTTCTCTTTTAAGTAATACATATACAGAATTAATTCATTTAGATATATCTTATAATTAATTTAATGAGAAATAACTTTAATTAATAAACTATTCAATATTAAAGAATTCAAGGTTATATGGTTTACATGTTGAAGGAAATAAATGTTTAGCTTATGTAGATCCTTTAGGATTTATTTAATTTCCTTAATAAATAAAAGGGAAACAAAGTATGTAACCTAAACATTAAAATATTGATGGTGTAAATTTCATTCCTATGTTAAATGAAAATGAGAAAGGATGTGATTGCTGTTGGATTTGTTAAGGTTGGATGGAATATCATTTTATTTATGAACCTGAACCTGAAGAATGTTAAACTGATTCTATATATTTACATTTAGATTTTTTAGAGTAAATATATATTTAAGTATTTTAGTTTTAAACCCATATCAATGACTACTAGTAAAGAATTATGGAAATAAATAAATAATAAATTGAATAGTACTAATATTTAAGAAGATTTAACAACAGGAGAGATTATTCATTAATTAAAACATGCTTTTAGTGCTGGTAAAATGATAACTATGACTGCTATTAATGATGCGTATTTAGAGGATAATAAAGCAAAAGATGATATGAAATTAATATTATCTGAATTGAATTCAAAATTCTTTTTCACCTCTTATTAAATGTGTCCTCCAAATTAAAAAATACTTTATTTTTTTTCTAATCCTACAGGAAAAGGAATATTTATTAATGAAAGATTTCCAATAATTTCATTGCAATCTAATGAAAATATTGAATTAATTATGGATAAAGAAAAAGTATTTTTTTATCCTGATGGATCTCAAATTTCATTATCATAAGTTAATTAAGTTAATTATTTCTAAACAAAATAAATGTTTGTTATTGATTAAAAAAATTAATACAAACCTTTAGTAAAAGTAATTCCTAGATGTTTAGAAAATAAATATTTTTTAAAAAGATTTGCTGTTGATGCATCAAAATAAAAATCTAATTTAATTTATTGGTAAAAAGAATAATCAGCTTTTAAATCATATTAGGGAGATACAGAAGATGTATTAGATGAATGTTTTAAATTTGATTGGAATTGTATGGGTATTTAACACTTTTTAAAAAATGAGTAAGAAGTAGAAAAAGTAATTGAAATTATGAGATTTCATTATCATAAAATAAAAGATATTTATAAGTATTATTCAGGTTTTGGATATAATGCTAAAAAACTTATAAATGGTTATTAAGTTGAAACATTTTATATTCCTCTGACTTTAATTTATGATTTAATTTAAGATTTATTACCTTAAGGCATATTATTTGAAGATGTAGAATCTTAAGTAAATTAAATTAAATATAATTGTGATAATAAATTTATATATAATCCAGAAAAAGGTTTTGTCAGATATTAATTTATTGAATTTATTTTTAGAATCGCTCTTTTAATAACAAAATAAAAATATAAAATTGGCTTAATTGTAGATCAAGTTTATAAAACATTCTAAACATTAACTGAAAGATTTGCAGCTTTTGATAACTAACAATAATGGAGATAAGAACGTTTATGGACAAAAGAATGTGGAAATTTAATCTATATAAAATAAGGTTTTATTTAGAGATTACATGATTATGTTGCATGTATTAAAAATAAAAAATGGACATTTAAATTAAAATGGATTGCATTGACAGAATTTATAGATTTTTGTAATTTGATGGGATTTTAATAATTTTTGACTGAAACTCAATTAAAAATCATTTACAATTTTTCAATGTAAACACATTAGGATGAATTGACTTAAGACAGACATTTAAGAATGTCTTCTGTAGAATTCACAGAAGCATTAGCTAGAATAGCTGAATTTATTAGTCCTAATGGAAATGATATTGAAAATACTTCCACATTAAGAATGATAATACCATTACATATTAAATTAGAGAATCTTTTAACACATATATTCATTACTCTAAAATTGCTTAAGTATTTTTATTTACATATAAAGAGTGAATAATTTTGAGTGCTTTAGTATATACTTTAGCTATAATTCAAATGAAATTTTACCAAAACCCATAGAGTATCAACCAGATTAATATGAATGTACAACCTAAGAATTGAGAATATATAATACTCTTTCTTATTTAAGTAAAATTAAAATTTAATTAGAAACCTTTAAAACTCCATATTTACATCCAAATTATAAATAATTCTTGGAAATACCTTTTTAAATGGGATAAATTTTAAAATCAAAGAAAAGTGTTGTTGAAAGATAGATGACACAAAAATAAAAACTCTTAAAACTGAAGGCTACATTATAATTACTATGATTATTATTTTCATATGTGTAATTAATTTTTTATAAATAAATGAAAAATAGTGTTGAGAGATCTAAATGCTCATTACCTCGAATAAAGGATTACTCAAAAGAAAAAGCTGAAAAACTTAAATCTTTTTTTCGATCAAATAGAAGTATATCGGAAAATAAGATAATTCAAAGTAAATTTAAAACATCTAAAATGCTGTAAAATAATGAATTTTCTGATGATCAGAATGTTATGGCATATTATATGAAGAGCAATGAAAAATTGATTGGAATGAGATAAATGGTAAATAGTAATTCTCTAAAATCTGATTAAGGAGAAACTAAAAAGAAGTATTTTCCTTAGGGTTTATTAAAAGAAAGCTATTTTCCTATTAAATAAATAAAAACAGAAATTGAAGTTTATCATGTTAAAGATGAAGATTTATAAGGATTAAATTAAACAGAATAATAGTCATTTTAAGAGGTAATTAGCCAAAACGAAGATGAGGATCATGATATCTTAAGCGAGGAAAGCAGTGGTGATGAACCCAAAAGATTTGATGGAGTAGAATTACAATAAGAAATCAAAAAAATTTAGCATAAATTACGTATTTATATTATATCTAAAAATAAGATTAAGAAATTGATTAATCATATTTTTATTTTATTAAACGACAGGATAGATTAAGAGATTTGGCGATCAATTTTAATAAAAAAAATGTGGATCCAATAAATTTTTATTGTCTTAATGATAATATATTCCCAAAAAGAATAGATCTATCTAATTGTTTAATAAATAATAAAGAGATGCATTTTTCTGATCTTGGTTTAACAGAGAAGTATTTTCCATTGATAAAAAATTTATTATAGTCAGTAAAGAGTAGAGCAGTCAAATAACTGTTTTTATGTAATAATCAATTAGATGATAAATCCTTATTGTATTTAATTGAAGGATTTCCTTTGGCATTAAAGGAAATTAGTTTAGGAAATAATCTATTAGGTAAAAGAGGAGCAAGTATTATAGCAAGTCATATAACAAAATTTTTGAATTTGAAATCATTAAACTTATAAAATAATCTATTAGGAGATAAAGGAGCTACTTTATTATTGATTAATATTTAAAGAAATATGAGTATCATAAGATTAAATTTGTCAGAAAATTAAATTACTGATTCATGTTCTACTGTTTTTTATTAGTTTTTACTGTAGAATAATTTTATTGAAAATTTAATTTTAAATTGGAATTAATTAGGTCCAACAAGTGGAACAATGATAGCAAAAGGTTTACAATAAAATAGATCAGTAAAAGTGTTAGATCTTAGTTACAATCATTTAGGATAGAATGAAAGAAGTAATTGTATTGAATGTTGGTGTGAAACAGTAAATAATGCACAATTTTCATTAGTTCATTTAGATATCTCATATAATTAATTGAGTGAAAAATAGTTAAGGTAATTTAGTTAAGCTTTATTAAAAAATAACAGTTTGTATGGTTTACATATAGAAGGGAATAAATGTTCTGCTAAGGTGGATCCTTATGGGTTTATCCAATTTATTAATGATAGTGAAGAATTTAAAGTAGTATAATAAAAAAAAAATGTTATAGATGGAGTAAACTACATTCCAATGTAGGGAGATAGTTTATTTGGGAATGATTGTTGTTGGATTTGTTAAGGATGGATGGAGTATCGATTCCAATATAATCCAGAAAATGATAGCAATCAAGATCCTATTTTCATCCATCTTGATTTTTTAGAGTAATATTATAATTAACTATTAGTTATTAGCCAATTCCAATGACAAGTAGTTATGAATTAAGATAATAATTAATTGAAGCATCTAAAAGAAAAAGTAGTTATTTAGATTTAACAACTGGTGAAATTATACATTAATTAAAATAATTGGTAAATTCTGAAAAAAGAATAACATTAGCAGCAATAACAGAAGCATATACAGAAGAAACAAGTAAAAAGAGTGAAGAAATTACTAAATAAATGATTTAAGAATTAAGTAAGTTTTACTATACAACATATTAAATGTGTCCTCCAAAAAAAAAAATATTATATTTTTTTTCCAATCCTATTAGAGAAGAATATTTTATTGATTAAAGAGTAATGAGTATGCCTGCTCCTTTAGATAATTTGATACTTTAAGGGAAAGATCCTAAACACTCTATTCATATATTCTAAGATGGAACTAAATTAGCTTTTAAAAAAATTTAATTTGTTAATTATGTCTATTCAAGATAAGAATATATTATTGATGATAAAGATAATTATAAACCTTTAATAAAAGTATTTCCAAGGTCTTCTCAAAAAAAATATGTTTTAAGAAGATTTGCTAATTTTTTAGTAAGAAAATAGGCTCATCTTATTAAATGGAATAAAGAAGATTCTATTTTTAGACCATTTAGTGGAGATACAGAAGAATTATTAAATGAATGTTTTGAATTTGATTGGAATAGTAGTAAAATTAGTAGATTTGTTAAAAGTGAATATGAAAGATTCAAATTAAAAGAATATTTTAGATCTCATTATTAACTTTTAAAAGATACATATAAATTTTATTCTAGTTTAGGTTATTAAACTCCAAATTTTGATGTATTTTGTATATAAATACCTTAATATATGAAATTAATTAACAAATTAGCTATAATCGATGGTGATTTATTAAAATAATAAGATGTCGAAATAGATATAGTTTCATTAAAAAATAATGTTGATCCAAAATTTATTTATAATCCTGAAAAAGCTTTAGTTAGATATCAGTTTTTAGAAATGTTCTTTAGAATTGCTAATGATAAATATGTTAGAAATGATATACATAAAAGTTATGCTGATTCTCTCTTTCGATTACTAAAAGAGTTTAAAGAATAATATGAATATTTTGATACAATTTAAGAATGGAGAACATAAAGATTATGGACTAGAGAATGTGATCATTTATTATAAATTAAAATGCCTTTTGTAAAGAAATTGTATGATTATGTTACTGATATTACTAATAGAAAATGGTATTTTAAATTAAAATGGATATCAATTAGAGAATTTAAAGAATTTTGTAAATAATTTAATCTTAATGAATATTTATCAGAAAAATAATAAGTTATAATATATAATTTCTCGATGATGACTTAAATAGATGAATTAACATTAGACAGAAATATTAGAATGACTTTTATTGAGTTTGTTGAAGCATTAGGAAGAATAGCTGAAAGAATTAGTGCTGCTCCTGTAAATGATGCAGCTGATAATTATACTTTATTATAAAGATAATTATTACCTTTACATATTAAATTAGAAACACTTCTGACTTATTTATATTATTAAATGAAATAAAAAGACATAGAGTTTGAGTAATTTTGTGATTTATTTGTATATTTCAAGCCAGATCAATCCCCAAAAATTAGTATGCCTAAAGTTGATAAAAATAAGAAACCAGAAAAAGATCATGATTACCATAATTTGATATCATCACTTACACTGTATAATGCAGTCTCCTATTTAAGTACATTATTCTATTAGTTAAAGATTAGAATAAATTGCCTTATTTGAATCCAAAATATAAATCATTTTTAAAGCAAAATATAATTCAAAGTGCTCCTATTCGACCTTTTTAACATATATTTTAAAGTGATAGAATAAGAAAACCAAGAATTCTTCCAGATCCTTATATTTTGGAATCAAGATCTAATAATCAATACTAAAATAAATAATAAAGTCCTAATATGTAAACAACTTTCTCTTAAAATGCATGATTATATTTAATTAATATATAAAAACCAAATTTTAAATATGCAACATATTTAGAAACAAAAAAGAAATATGTATTTTTTTATAATTTAAATTTAAATCAAATGTGAACATTATCTCTATTTTAACTCTTGGCATACTTTTTCAATTCTTCTTTTACAAATTCTTTATTTCCACTATTTGGAATCTAGGGAAAATGTTTTCTAATTTCATCAAATTTTTAAATTAATTCAAATGTCAAATCATAATTAGTTTACACTAAAATATAAGCAATTGATTTTATATGTTTAACAGAATAGAACAAATCTCCAAAATATCCTTCCAACTCTTCTGGATCTTCTAATTATTTAACTGTGCTCTCAATGTTGTGATTCAATTATCGTAATTAAGAATTTTCCTCTTAATATCTCTCTAAACTAGAAGATGGTATATTCATTAATATGTAAATGTGCTATTCCTTAAATCCATGATTTTACAATTCTTTAAGTAAATTGTATTCTTAAAAATAGTAATATCGTATGTCTTTATGAAACGATATCACCAACAATTAATCAATTTATTTGATGCTTGCTAATTTTAGAGGATTTGATGTTGTTTGAATAACTTCTCCAACTTCCTAAGATTTTTAAAGATGCTAATCAATAAATATAGATGCAGGACCATATTGAGCTATTATTATTGCTTAGATTTGATTTAATATGGAATTTGATAATTTTATTTGAAGAAAAGAGAAACTTATTTCTTCTTAATCTTCTTATTATTCTTATTATAATCCTTGAAATTCTTACATAATTTTAATAAAATAAATCAAATAATAAATAAAAAATTTTTCTGCTCTTATCTAAGTTCAAATAGATATATTATGATATATTAGAGAACTTCCTTAATTTAATATAAACTTTTATATCAATATGATCATTTATTGATTAAAAATAGGAATTGTAAGATATCATTTACAAAAATAAAATACTGATAGAAATCTTGATTAAATATTAAGAAAAATATTAATCCTCAATAAATTTATAAAGGTAATTATGATTGATGAGTTTATTGATAAAAAGATTAGAGATAAAAATATTAATTTTTTGTTCCTTAAAGGCTGAAAAGATGATAAATGAAGCCAAAAAAAGATTCTCTTTAAAGATCAGATCAAATAAAATAGAAGTAAAGTTCTATATTATTTATTGAACTATTTTTTAAGCAAGAAGAGTTAGATATATGATATAATTAAAATTGAAGTTTCATTTGAATTATATATTATTTTCAATTCTATAATATTGTATTGAGATTTCTCTGAAGAGGAATTGCAATTTTATTTATATTAGAAACTAGTAATAAATTCTTTAAGATATTCCTTCCAAATTAAGAAATTTATTAAGAAGAATTAATATAGCTTTGATTATGACTAACTAAAATAAATAAATTAAATTATTATTATATATATAAATACAAAAATTTATAATGATCAGTTTTTAAGTTTGATTAAATCAAACATATTAGGTAGATGAAGCATTTTAGTGCTTACACTTTCAAATTGTTTGTCTTCCTCATCAGAAATACATAAGGATGAAATTTATCTATAAAATTCTCTTTTTATTGAGGATCTCTCTAATTCAGTTTGTACTTCTTAAATGCCTTCTAAATTTTATGGTTAATGAATAATGATTTTGGTTTATGTTGGATTTAGATTACTTGATTCTTTTTAAGTTTATTAAAATTATTATTAAGTTGATTGTTACAAGTTCATTTTTCGTATCTAAAGGAATAAATCATTTAATAAAATTACCCAATCATATTAAAAATCTTTTTCATTGACATTAAGTTACTGAAGTAAATTTCTAAATAGTTTTTTAAGGAATTCATAATCACCCAAAGGGTATTACTAAACATTAGTCATTCTAATAAATTAAAAATATTGAAGAATTTCAATAGGCATATCTTTACAATATTTTTCTGGAATCATCCTCAATTTTTATTCTTCCATTTTTTTAATTTTAGATCCATTTTCTTTGACTTTAAATAAATCTCCTTTTTTTAAAAAATACATAAGTAGGAATCCAAGTGATTCTAAATCATCTTTTGGTGAAGCAGCTATAAATTGAAATAATTATATTTACTTAATCCTAAATGTTAATTAAGACTAGAATATTTAGTTAATTTATTAAGATTAGAAAATTTAGATGGATATCCTATATATTTACCATTTTTATGTTTATATTTAGCAAAGTGTTAGAAATCAATCAGTATCAAATCATTTTTACCAATTTATGTTAATATTTTTTTTGGTCTAAGATTTCGATGTACAATAGATTAGTTATGAAGTTTTTCGAGAATGTTTAACTAATTAATTTGATATTGATTTACAATTTGTATAGCAATCATACAAATGGTTGGTAAAGTAAATTCATAATTAACAAATTAAAAACATAGTTTAAGACTTGGTCCATATTTGTCAAATACTTAGTAATAGTAATTAGTATTTTGAAGACGAACATCACCTGAAGCTTAAAGTGTTGGAATATAAGGAACTGAAAAATGAATAAGTTAAAAAACTTACAATTGTTCATTTTTTTAAGTTGTTTTTCTTCTTCCAATAAACTGTCAATGTTTGTGTTAGCCTATCAGGTAAATGAACTAACAATAAAATTTAAAATATTATTTACATTACCAATCTAACGATGAAGTAATTACCTGGTTAAGCTTAATTGATTGCTATAAATATAAAGTAATAATTATATAAGATTTACCCAAATACCAGTTATGTTTTTTACCTCTGTAAATACAAGTTTTTAATACAAAGTTTTATCCAATCACTATTAGATTCTATTTTTAATAGCTATCTTTTGATTTAGTTTCACTCATTAATAATAAAAATAAATGAAAAGTCTGCAGGATATTCATAAAAAGAATTAATAATAAAGAGCTACATTTGCTCTAATGAATTAAGTGAATAATCGTACTTAAATGGGATGGTTCACTCCTTAACCCTCGAATGATTTATAATCTCCTTTCGGAAATAGTCTTAGTTAATTCTCTTAATAAACATCAGAACATAATATTATACATAATACTCGTGGCACTTTACATTCATTGAGTTAATCTATAGAAAGATAAATATAATCAAGAGAAATAGCAAGATAAGTAAGAAAATAAAATGCTTAATAATCAGCAAGATAAGAAAAACATTTCTTTGGAACAATTAATGGCATTCCTAAAATCAATTCACCTAAAACTTAAGCAAATTAAACTACATCTATGTTTTAACCGAATTTAATTAAAGTTGATCCTAAAATTAAAAGATAACTTAGTGAAATGAGTAAAAGAAACTTCCTTCATTTTCTCTTAGTCTAAAAAGTTGGACAAGTAAATTCTGTTTATATTAGTAGAAAGATGAAAAATAATTCTATGAATATTTAAAAAAGACTTATAATTTTGAACCTCCTTAACCTATAGAAGAATAATAAATTAAAGTCTCAAAGAAAGGCATCAAATATTTATTTACTAAAGAAGATGATGATGAAACTATTAAAAAAACAAGTTAATAAATATTAAGAATGCATAAATTACATCATGGTAGAGAAGTCCCTTTAGATAAATATGTTTAAGAAACATATGAATAATAATTGAGAAGATTTCCTAAAGTAAGAGAGAAATTAGAATAATCTAAAAAAAATCAATTAGAATAATCATGATCTTTATTTAATATATCATATTGATCTTAACTCATTTTTTTATTCTTTTCAATTATATAAATTTCTCATCTTAAATTGTATAAACAAATTTAAAGGTCCATACTTATTTTTCATTTACTAAACTAACTTCAAAATTCATTAACAAATAAATCAATAAACATTTGATCTCCATCAATGCCATATGTTAACCAATACAATTTCTTTTTCCAATTGAAAATGGTAAAAATATAAATGGATCAATATTTTATTGATTCCATCTATCAGGATTAAAAGTAAAAGGATCTTTAAAATTCTATGAATCATAATGATTTCCAAATAAACAAACTGAAACCTCTGAATTCTTTTTTAAAAAATAATCACCAACTTTATGATCTTATTTAACCTCTCTTTCAATAAAATATGGTACTGGAGTATGCATTCTCATACATTCATTAATAAAATTTGTAATCTCACTTGATATATTAATATTATCACTGTTCAATTCTTCATAATTACCATACTACTTTTAGATTTCCTCTCTTAATTTTAATTACCATTCAGGATGAATTGCTAAAGCATAACAACATGCTCCAAATAGATTACTAGTTGTATCTATTCCTGCAAATATTAACATAATATATTGTTGGATAGCATGTTCTTCAGTTAATTATGGATTTTGTTCTAAATATAATAATTCTATATATACATATTGTATTAATATATGCAGTTAAAAAATCTGCTGGTTTATTCTGCATTTATTATCTTTCTTTGATTGAATGGCTTAATATGTCTTTAATATTTTAAAGTCTTGCTAGAAGCTGATGTTCTACCTTAGAAATAGTCCAATTTGGATAATCTCTTGTTCCAAATATAAAAGTTCTTGTCATGCATCTTATTGGTGCTTCTCTGTATTATGATATGATACTCACCATAACATCCACCATTTCACTTAAGAATGTTTTCCCATTTAAATCCTCAAAACTTTAACTAAAAAATGATTGAGTAATCACTTCTCCAACTATATTACCTGATAGATTTATTATGTCAATTGGTTCATTCTCTTAAACTTTATCAAATTTCTCTTCACATAGCCTCTTTATTAATGGTATTCTTGCTCTTAACTAATCAAATTCAAAAGATTTTGAAAGCACTTTCCTAGCTAATTTCCAATCTTCTCCATCTTGAAATGCCAAACCTAAATTAAATTTTAAATCTTACCCTTGTACAACATTCTTTCACCAAACAACACTTTCGATGTCTTTCTATAAAGATCTTAATTCTAAAGAACAAATTTTATATGCTCTGTTTTTAAAAACACATGTGTTAATCCCAAGAATGTATTGCTCACAACCATTTCAACTTCTGGATGTTGTTAAGAAATCATTTTCTCAAAATACAATAAATCATTGTGTTTCTTTATCCCTCTACTAAATTCTATGATTCTTCCCAACAATGGAAAATACATCAAATACATTTTCTTTCCATATTTTATCTTCATTAACAACATTTAGAATAATGGCTTCAGAATTAGTAATGCTATGAAAAGAACTATGTACAATAGTATTTCCAAGAATGAAAAGTAAAACATTTTATTTGGATCTTATTTTTTTGTTTTTATCACTTATAAAGAAAATATTTTATTGAATATTCCATAATTATTATCATAATTTATTGGTTTATTATCAAACCTTGTAATTTCTTAAACTCAATCATATTAGAAATTATTTTAAGAGTGACGTGTACCTTTGAATTAATTATTTATTTATACATGTCTCATAAAATTATTTTTATATGTAGAGTTTAAAATAAGCACAGGATTAATTATAAGACAGGCAATTAAATAATAATCGAACTATGAGAAATATTAGTGATAAAATGGATAACTTTTTTGGATGGCAAAATGGCTATAAATAAGATAGTTTGATTAGAGGTATCATTCATGGTTGTTATCATGGAATGTGGGGTGTTTTAAAATATATGGCATTAAATGGAGAAGGATCAAAAAGAGAATTTAAAAGAGCAAAAGATCAATTTTAGAGGAATGGAAGAGTTAGAGAATGAAATATAATTACAAGTCATATAATTAATAATACATTATTAAATAAAATTAAAAACAATTCTTAAGAATATCATCAATTTCTTCTTTTCTTTTTTTAATCCTCATATTATTTTGGCAATTTTTTTAATGCTATATATCCTAAGTATAAAATAAAAGATATAAAGATAAAGAACATAATATATTGTAAAGATTTTACTGATTTTAAAGAAAATCCAAATACTTTAGGTTCCAAATCAAAATTTCTTTTCAATTATGAATCATCATCTTCATCATCCTTTGAATCCATAGCTTTTTCGAAATCCTAAATATATTGCCAGATTCTTTCTTCAGCTTATGTTATATGCATATCAACTTTATCGTTGCTATAATCATCTAATGTCATATTTTCATAGATATATCTGTAATCATCAAATTTAAATTCTTTAGATTAAATTTAAGCAAAGATCTATAAATTATAATATTTTTTAAATTACCTTAACACTGTCATCATAAGTTATACTCTTTTGACACTAATTAACATATGAAGTATAAATTTTCTTCCATACAATGCTTTATTCTTATTTTGTTTAATGGCTATATTTAATATATTATAATTACCTTTCAATAACTTTCATTAACTCAGACTTATATCTAGATAATTACATTCTAGCCAAAACAATACAAGAATAATTCAAAGTTTTTAATAAAGTTTATAATGTATCTCTTTCTTTGATAATTTCTTCTTTAGTTCTTGATTTTAATTTTCCATCAGTTTAATTATTTGTAGTAGTGTCATCTTTTGGATTTTCAGAATCATTTTAAGTAGTTTCTCCTTATTTGATATCTTCCTAAGCTTAATTAATAACTAAGCAAGCAATAAGAATAAGAATGTATAACTTCATTACACTTGTATATATATAAATTAATAAATTTCATGAGTAATTAATTTAAAATGAAAATTGATATAAGTTAGTTAATCATTCACATAATTGATTTTTTTATGTTAAATTATCAAATATAAAAAGAGGAACAAAATTATTGATATATAATACTTATAAAAGCATAATTATTTATATTTAACATCGTTAATGTCACATAATTTTGATGATAGAAGTGTTAATAATCTATTAAAAGAGATAGATGATCTTATTAATAGAATGGGAGATTAGAATGAAAGTCATAAAAGTGATAATTCTTTTAAAGATTAATTAATATAAACAGGTCAATTTGTACATGAGAATGAATAGCCTTGTGATGTTCCAAAAAAATTCAGTATGTCAATTCCAAAGAAAAAAAATAATTCTTAATAAAAGAAAGTGACGATTGTTGCTGATAAGAAATCATCATCTTTCTCTTCTTCTTCTGATGAAGAATAAGACAAAGAGTTGTTTAAAAAAAAAAATAAATAAGAGAAAGAAAAGCAATAATAATCTAAATAGAGTCCAAATAAAGCTAAACGGGTTGGATCATAATGTTCATATAGATCAAAAGTTAAATCAAATCTAAAAAGTGAAACTTAGTCATAATTGTCATATCTAAAAACTTAACAATCATAATTACTAGTATAACCTGTGAAAGATGTATTTTGTTTGATTTGTGAAGAATTTATTCCTATTGATATTGTTAATTTACATATGGAAGACTGTTAATCTATTTCTTAGGAGTGTTGTGAAGATTAATTGTTAAAATTAAAATTGGAGAATTATAAAAAGCTTTTAAGTTTAAGATATGAAGCGAGTTATGATGAAAATGTTAAATGTCTAATTGAATTATTGCATAATTGTACTTAACAAATTTTGGATGTATCAGATTAATATTAACTATCTTAAATTATTGAAGATTTATATGTTTTAAAAACTCAATTAAATTAAAATAGTAATTATTAATCATATACTAAGTCTAGCTAAAGCATATCAAGTGTTGACAGTAGCTTAAAAAATTTAAGAAATAGCTAATAGAAAGATGTAAGTCATGATTTATTAAAAGGAAAAATTTGTAGAGACTAAGGAACCATCAACAATTTCACATTGGAATAAAATCAATTTTAAGTAATAAGAATAATTAATAGAGTAAAATAATATTATTTATTTTTATAGTCGTTAAACAGTTATAAGTTACGTTACTAATACTACTACTAAAAAGAAATTATTTGAATCACCATCATTTTAAAATATACCAAAGTAATTGATCAAATTTTCCAATTTAAATTCTAAACCTGTCTCAGGATAATAAATTTAAAAAAATTCACCTTTGAAATAAGAACAGATTAATTTAAAAAATGGTATTGAATTTGGAAATAATTATGATTCTTCTAAGAAGAGATCTTACATTTAATTATCCAATTCTAAAACTTAATCCAAAATTTACACAGAATAAAATCATCAAGAAACAATTAAAGAATCTGAACCTACTGTTATTTCTAAATTATAATCGTATATTTCAAATGTGAAAGGAAAGTTCTCAAATGATAATGAATAGATAAAAAAAAAATTCTTTCTTCAAGCTTGTAAATGTAAAGACAAATTTCCTGTAAATCATCCTGCATAGAATATACTTATATCAGAAATGTTTAACTAAAGTTAAAGATAATAGATTCCATAACATGAATGGGAAGTATGGATTAGCAATGTTCTTCAAAATGCTTGATTTATAACTTACATTAATTTAAAAATATAAATTATAAAATTTTATGAAATAAAAATAATATATGATCTTTAGATATTTATATATATATAATACATATTAAATGATAATTTTTCATTTAATAATTACTCGACTTTCAAGACAATGGTAAGGTATTGGTACTAACTTAATAACACAATTAATAGGAATATCAATATTTGGTATTTCACTTATTTAATTGCAATGATAATATGCATATAGACATCTAAATATAATTAAATTTTTAACTTTAAAACAGCAACATGTGCTACTACTAAAACAGGATCTCTGGATCTTTCAATTTCATAAATTATTGGTTCAACTCTATGAATTACATCTAAAAATGATTCTCCTCTTGGATATTTAAATTCAAGAGGATTAGCTTTCCTTTCTTTAATTTATTTAGGATATTTTGCTGCTATTTCTTTAAGTGTTAATCCATCACATATTCCATAATCTATCTCATCTAAATTCTTAGTTTTCAATGCTTTAATTCCTAATTTATCTCCTACTATCTCAGCTGTTTAGATTCCTCTTTTCATTTAAGAAGTAAAAAATGTTATCTATTAAAATATTTATAATCTATTTACATTTTTATTTCCTTTTAATTCTTCTATAAAATAATTTCCTATTTATTGACTATGTTATTTTCCCATAGCAGATAATTCTGGATCTCCTCCTATTTTATCAAGTAAATGATATTCTGATTCACATGATCTTACCAAATATATCTATCTATTATTTGCATGCAAATTCAAAAGAAACGAAACTATTTTCGAACATAAATAGCCTTCCAACATATGTACCTTAACTTATTTACCTATATTAATTAGTTTTATATATGATATATTTTCTGTGTTTTCGAGTGTTTAGTAATCTTATGCTAATACTTTTATTTGATTCGTAAATTGATCAATTGTCTTTTCTTTAAATCGACTTAATTTTGATTCATTAATATTATTAAGAATTACTTAAGGATCATCACAAATTGATTCTATCCAAAATACCTAAAATTCCAAATTAAGTTTCTCTTTAAATAAAGATTTTAATTTTTATCTATCTGATTTTGTACTGGTTAACCCATTATATAAAGCTATGTCACCTTCATTTTATAAAAATGTCACTAGTTATTGAGCAGCTTAAAAAGATAGTTACTACCTAACTTCTATAAACTAAATTTAAGATTTATCTTACTTACTAATTAGTTGGATCTATTTCTAATTCATAGTCTATATTTTGATCTAATTAAGCATCTTTTTATTATGCTCCTTTTATCGAGAATATTTCACTTTTATATCCAATCCAATTCAAATATCTATTTAATTTGTAAGAAATATGTGTTTTTCCTCTTGCTGGTAATCCTACCAATACCAAAATCAATTTATATTGAGTTTTTTTATATTGTTGCATAAATAATGTAATATAATTTATTTATATAGATTATTTCTTACATACTAATCATTAATCATTTTAGTATTATAAGACTTAAACTAATACAAATTTTGGTTTATTCCTTAATAAAACAGTATAATTTAACTTATAATTCTTCTAAATATTTATTTTGCTTCTTTCTTTTAACTTTTCACTTTTTGGTATCAAAACATTCCATATTTTAGATCATAACTTCATTAATTTAGTATTAATTATTGATTATTATATTGAACTTTTCAAGTATTTTTTTTAATATGTTTATCAAATTTATATAGTTTTTCTTTAAAAATTTGTTAAAATATAACATTATGATATTATTTAACAATCAATTAATAGCAATCCCTAATTGAAACATTACTATAGAATATATTTATTCTAACGAAGATAAAAAATAGAAGATATATTAATCAGGCAAAGATAAAAAGAATATTTTTTTTATAATTATTTATCTACATACTTCATCAATTTCTATGTAATATTAAATAATAAGATGAATAAAAAATATTGGAGGTAATTTTTATTTAATTTGAAATAAAAGAATTTCAAAAAAAGAAAATTTATAAAAATGTAATTGTTTTGAATATAAAACTTAATATAAAGCAACTCAAGAAGCTAATTTTAATAAAATAAATAAGTATTTATGAAAAAAAGGGAAAACTTTAAAAATAAAAAGTTAAAAAAAGAAATTTAAATAATTAGTGTTGATATTATCATTGATTATTCTTTTTTCCATGTGTTTTCAATCTTTCAAATTTTTACATTCTAAAAAAAGCATATTTGCTTGGTACCAAATATTTTCTCATTAATCTAGATTTTTTTTAATATTTTAGGTTGCATTCAATTATTTTATCATAGTTGCCTTCTGTGAAATAATTACTATATAATATTAATTTATCTATTCCTTCTATAATTTGAAAAGGTTCTTGATTAATATCGACTTCATATCCAGAAGACTATTTATAAAAATTAGAGTTTTAGATGATGGAAGAATTTCTTTTAGCAGAATCCCTTCTTTTAATAAATGGATTATTATTATTATTAATCCCTTAAGAATCAGAAAAGAAGTAGGTTTTTTTTTATTTTTACCCATATCTTAAAATTTCAGCAGGACGTGTTTTAGGTGATTCAGCTGGTTAATTTGGAGATAATGCGGCAGGTTTTAATTTAATTGTTTTTCTTTTGGTATCACTAGGATAACAATAAGACAAAGTAAGAACTTAATCACTTTTTTTTTCATATTTAATACTTTCTTCTCCTGATTCATTAGATTCAGATATAGAACCTACCTATTGTATACTACTACCAAAAACAGGTTAATTAATATCAATTTCATTAGATGTTTTAATATGTCTTGTACTTTGATAGATACTCTCTTATCTAAAAACTCTTAAACGCTCTCCTTTTCTTCTAAAATAAGATCTATCTTAATAAGTTTCTTTAACAAACTCTTTTTTAATAACTCTCTCTAAATCTGGTTTATAATGTATATAAGGACATTTCCAAATACAGTGAGATTCTTTACAACAATAACATTCTAAAGGAGAGGAAGTATATTGAAAAAGGATAGAGTCTTTTAATTAATGAAATTATTAAAAATCATTATTGTAAGAATTTAAAATTTTAAGAAACTACATTCTAGATAAATTATATATCTAACTAAAATCACAACTTATTGCAGTTCCTTATCTTCTTTTATTTGTAAGGAATTCTAATTCACCAAAACATTATCCTGTAGTAAATCTTTTTAAGATTTTACCAGAATTATCATCAATTAAATTAACTTCCCCTTTCCAAACAATATATATAGAACATTCATCTAATTAATTTTATTGATAAATGATTTCTCTAGGAGTATATGATTAAAGATTCAATTCACATGCTATTTAAGGTAAAATTTCTTCAGAAAAGTTTTTATTAAAAAATGGGATACATTACATAACTCTAAATTAAACATCTTAAATTAATTCTTATTTTAAATTAGAAGGTAATTTATCAATTATTCCATTAATTTCATTTTTATAAAGTTTATCTTACTTATGAAAATGATATTTTAAATAATTTCTAATTCTTCCTTATAATTATTCTTCAACCTAATTATTATTCATATATTAATTAATTAATAAAAGAATTCTTTTATATTATTATTTTTGAGCATCCATATTTGTAAAAATAGATCCTATTTAATTCATAGAAAATGCAAATATTCCACTAGAAAATATCATTAAAATTATTGCACAAATAACTTCATAAATATTCTTACCAGAAATATCTCCATATCCAACTGTTACCATTGTTGTTGTTGCCCAATAAAATGAATAAACATACATTTATAATTTGTTTGAATCATCAAATTATGAATCTTATGTCCATGAAATTTAATTTGATTCAGCACTCTTAATTCCAACATAATGCCATATGCAAGCCATAAAATGAGCAAAATAAAATGTTATTATAATTAATTAAATTAAATTTAAAACTTCAGTTAAGGAAGAAGATTCAACAAATGTTTCTTCATATTTAATAAGATATTTCTTAAGTTTCATAAAATTTAATACAAATTGTATTAAAACTATTATTTCTTAAAATGAATAAGCCTTTATTCCTATATCACTTATAACAAAAATTAAAGTTATAAAATAAATAAAATCTTCATATAATTCCTTTTTTAAATAATATTTTATTATATGCACTCTTTTTTTTATTAACTTACCTTAATCAAAAATACCTCTATTAAATTTAATAGCTAAATCAACACCAAATAAATATGTTAATGAACTTTCAAAAGCATCAATACTAGAATTTGATGATGGATTAAATGCTATCTTATAAGGAAGCCACCATAACAAAATAGTTAATTAAATAGCTCTACAAAATTCCCAAAGAATCATTATTTTACTTGCTGGATTAAAGACAGGTAATCCTTTTATGATTGAATTCTTTGGATTCTCATCTTATGATGAAATTTATTTTAACTTTCTCCAATTTTTTTTTATTTTAGCAAAAAATTCTGGTAAATGCTCTGTTATTTATTTACTCTTGTTTTTTGGAAATATATATGCTTTTTTTTTAAGTTTCTCAATAAATTAATTTACATGATTATTGACTATAAGCATCTTTAACATTCCTAAATTTTTCAATTATTTGTTTTTATCATTTTTTTCAACATTATGATGTTAAATAGTTTTTGAAGAAATGACTTCTTTACCTTAATTATTTGAGTTGCTAATATTTCTAAACCTAATATTTTATAAAGAATCCATTTATGGAATAGAATCGTAATCAGAGTTTTCTTTAAATGGAATGTCTTACATATCCATTTAAATTAATTATGGTCTGAAAGTATCAGACATTCTAGACGAACCTAATTTGAAAAGCAAATAAAACCTGGAAATTTAAATTCGTTGTAGAGAGTTTATTCGATATCATCAGTCATATTGAAAAGGTAATACCAATTTACTTAGAATATTTATTTAATAAATTTGTACATATTTAATAAAAAAGAAAGAAATTACTATTAGTCATTTGATTCATAAAATTTCACTTTTTCTCATTTTCTTGACCAATCGACTAATGTTTCAGTTACTAAGACTTTCTTTGTTTTAACTTACTTTATGATACCTTATAAAACAACCTCAAAATTATTTTAAGGAAAGTATATTTAATATTTTTAAATTTTATCAAAATCTTAAATTGCAATCTTAACAAAATCATACGATATTTGTTCTAATTAATTTAATGTAGGAACTTGAATTTAAAAATTTGATAATGAATGTTTATGTTTTAAGGAGGGAAGTTCTAAAATTTAATGATTGCTTAACATAGTATTAAAGCTTTATTATTACTCAATCTAAAAATCAATATTGCTTTAAATAAATGGTGAAGGCTCTATAATTTTTTCTTCATCAACATGTAATAATTAACCAAAACTCTTTATATTAATTGTTTTTTTTCTAAGATTTCTAGGAAAATTTCTCTCATGATGAATAAAATCTTATACTGAAGATTTACAATTTTATCTTGAAGGTTCATCTTCTTTCATTACTTAATTAGATTAAATTGTTTGATATTAACAAGATGTCTTCTTTTCTGTCACTCTTTAAAATTTTCTTCTATTTGATTCTAAATCTTAAATTTTTTATTTTCTTATTAAAACTTCTAAATTTGGTTTGTATTAACATGCAGAACAATCCATAATGAAATGATTTTTTGAACAACAATAACATGATGAAATTTAATCTATTTTTTAAAATAAATATTGATCTTTCAATTTATGAAATTATTAAAAATCATCATTTGAATATTTAATTATTTTAAGAAACATCTCTCTAGATATTTTTAACACTTAACTCAAATCTTTGCTAATTGCTGTGAATTGTCTATGTTATTAAGTTAAGAATTCAACTTCACCAAAACATTGTCCTTTGGTTAAAGTTGCCAAAATTTTGCCTGATTAACTTTCAATTATTAATACTTCACCTCTCCATACTGTATATAGACTAAAATCATCTAACTAATCTTATTGATATATTATTTCTTTTGGTGTAAGATATTATACTTGTAAAGATTGAGATATAATTGGTAAAACATTTTTAGAGAAATTATTCTTATAAAATAAAATTTCTTCCATTATTTTAGATTATATATTAGTTTTTAAATCAGTCAAAATATTTGGTGGAAGTCTCTATAAAATTTAATCTAATTTTTCTTAAGAATTCTATAATTTAATTTTTTCTTAATATTACAAATAATTTCTAATTCTACTTTGTACTTATTAATCTACTTAATTTTTTTGCATATGTTCATTGATCAACAAGATTGTTCTTTTGTAATTTTATTTTTCACCATCAATTGTACTAAAAATTTCACCAATTTAATTAATAGCAAATGCAAACATTCCTGTTGAAAAAATCATAAGAATAGTGGCACATAATGTTTCATGATTATTTTAAGCAGTTATATCTCCATAACCAACAGTTACCATTGTTGCAGTAGCCCAATAAAATGAATATAAATAAAAAGATCCTGATCCAGATAATAAAAATTAATTTTAATTAATCCAAGAAGTATCAAAACTCTTTAAACTTTCAACACCTACATAATACCATATACAAGCCATAAAATGTGCAAAATAGAATACTGTTATTATTAGTTACATTAAATCTCCAAATTATGTATAACTAGTTTTAGTAGCAAAAGTTTCTTCAAATTTAAGTATTTTCCTTTTTAATTTAATAAAATTCATAATAAATTAAAATAAAACTAAAAGTTCAAAAACTATAGAAATTTCAACCAAAATTTAATAAATAATAAACATTTAAGAAATGAAATAACAAGTATCCTCAATTAATTCATTTTTAATATAATATTTTATGATTTCAGTTCTGTTCATTATAAATTCTCCTTCCTTAATATAACCTTGATTTAATTTAAGTATAACATCTAAAACAAAAACATAAATTAAAATCGTTTCAATTAATTCAAAAGAGTAATTGGGTTTAAATGCAATTTTAAAAGGAAGCCACCACATTAAAAATAATAATTATAAGGCTCTAAATAAGTTCCAAAATAACATCATCTATCCAGTAGGATTAAGAGTTGATAAAGTTTATTTTTTTTAAGTTTTAGGTGTTATATTTTTATGCTAATAATTAATAATTCTTTTATTTTCAACATAATTTTCAGTAAGAAAGTTTTTCATTTTGATAGGCAATATTTTTGGTAATATATAGGCTTACTTTTTTAATTTATCAATAAATTTTCTAATTAAAGCTTCTTTATAGAACACTTTTTATAAAAGAGTATTTTTTTTAAATTTTTGAATGTCAAAAGTTTCTTTTTTGATCCATTCACTATTTATATTGAGCTTGAGATATAAAAATAAAAAGTACTTTTTTAATATGAATACTCGCATGAGGATTAGGAGATAGATGTTGTAATTGTTATATTTCATTAGATGGGAATTTAACAGATGCATCAGATCCAGTTTTAATTTTAAGTGGACCATCAGAAAAATCAGCTTAAATTTGTTAAGGTCTAAAAGAATCACTTAATTTAGGAGTAACTTCATGAAATAAGAAATAGAGTTACATGATTATAAATCCATAGAATCTTAGAATTCACGATTATCTTGCATAATTTAAAATAATTAATAAAATATTTAAAATATTGATATTTGATGAAAAATTAATGATTTTAATTATAATAATTAATTAGTTATGCAGATAGAATAGATAAATAAATATAGCAAAGAGTGCTAAAATTTAATAATAATAATTTATTTCTTTGTATTAGATTTTGAACTAAGTGATTTAATTAATTAAATATTTAAAAATCAGTACTCCTATCTCATTTACATTGATAACTTTAGGAGGTTTCATGAAATTATCATTATTTGGAATTGCACTATCTAGTAAATAAGGATTATATTAATCTATTAAAATAAATTTATAACAAAATATTGAAGCTATTTTTACAATTGTGATAGTAGTATGATATTTTACATTAAAAAAAGTATAAAAAAGAAATTATTACAAAATCATAATTTAAACAAATAAATTTTAATGCATTTGAAGAATTGAATGATTAAAAATAATAATCAGAAATCAATCATAATTAAACAGAATCTATAAAAAGAGAAACATTAAAACAGAAGGAAATAATTTTGGGTAAAGATTAAAGAAAAGATATTATGAACAAGATCATTTATTAATTCATTTCTTTTGAAAGAAAGAGATAATAATGAATAGCAAATGTAATACAAAAATAATGGTCAGAATAGATAATTTTATGCTGATCATACTCGATCATTTAATAGTTTTAATTAAACTATTTCATATTGATATATTCAAAATTTTGGAAAGAACAGTTATAATAATAAACTATAAAATGGAACTTAAGATTATGAAATTCATTAGAAGAGAAGTTATTTTATCTAAACTAATAAAAAAATGAGTGATGCTCTTTAAAAAGCTAAAGACTTGTTTATTAAATCATTCCTTACAAAATTAGTTAAATAATTTTAAGATCATCTGATGAAAGAATATTTCTGATAACAAATTATAGAAATTGATATCTTTTTTGCTAATACGCCTTATGATATTAATTCTAATAAACATGAGAAATTTATGTAATTATGGAAGATGTTTTCTTTCTCATAAATTAAATTAAAAGTAGATCATGCTAAACAATAAGAGCACCTATAAATATTCAAAAATTTACAGAAGAGAAAAGTAGAATATATACAAGAATGTGAACTTTTAGAGTTGTTTTATAATATTTTAGATATAAATCTGGTTAACAGAAAAATAATAGCAGATAACAAATTATTCTTAACTAAATTAATCAATTTTGGATAAAATAATTATAAACCTTAATATCTGTCAGATGGTTTTAATGAAAAAATAGTTAGTGATTATGAAATATTATTTAATTATCCTTTAGTTTCTACAGTGTTCATTTATGTTCACTTAATATGTGTAAGATAAGAAAAATAAATGAAATTAATTTAAATGCTTTGAAATCAATAGAATTAGTTTAATTAATTTCGAAAGTTTGGGTAATTAGGATTCAGAATTATAAAAAAGCACCAAATCAAAATAATTCATAAAGTTTAAATAAAACAAATTAAACAAAAAATTAAAATGAATAGATTTAAGTATCATAAAATATTTAGGTAGAAATTTAATTATTCAATAAAAACTAGAATAATATCAATTTGATTATTATAGTGATTGGATAGTAAAAGCTATGACCAAAGAAAAAGAAAATAAGACAAATAAATTAGAATACAAATTATTTACTCAAAGAGTAAGAGTTTAGGTGTCAAATTTAGGATTAAAATTCATTGTTTACTTTAATAAGTTATTATCTTTTACATTATTGAATTATTCAAAATGATATTGACAATAACTATAATAGATGGATATGGATTAGATAATAATAAAATGCCTTATTAGAATGGCCAAAGATTTTTCATATTTAGTGGTAAATGTGTGATTTAATTATATTAATTATAATTTGAAAAATATGTATAGAGATTTATCTGAGAGAATATTAGGAAGGTAGGAATCTACATTAAGTTTTCATGCTCCATAAACACAAGAAGGAATGAGACCATAAATTCTATAAAGAGTTAATTAAAACTTGATCTTTGTGATCTATGTAGTAAGTTAATTGCTTCAATTAATGATTGGATATTCACTAGTTTAATAAATAGATATTATTACAATAGCTACTTAAAGATGCATAATTACAATTATATTGACACTACTCTACATTTAATTTTTTGATAATTCTTAATTTTCTTTCGATCAAAGCTACATAAAAGTGTTTAGTGTTATGAGTGGAGCTTAAGTTTTAGCATCTCTAATGGGATTACTTGCTATGTAAACATTCGTTTTTTCAGAAGTATGTACATTCCATCAATTAACTGCAGGATATATTTTAGTTTTATAACATTTTCTGATTCAACCAGGAAACAATATAAATTTATTGCTATCACTTATTTAAACTATTTCAACAATTTTATTTAGTGGAAATCTTTTATATATTTTTGTTTGTCTTTTATAACCATTGAGTCTAGCTTTAATATAGACACTCAAATATTTGATGACCAAATAAATGCAATAGTTTTCTTTATTATTATACACTAACTTAATTGGATTACCAATCTATATATTATTAAGTTTATTTAGCGGAGGTGTTTAAAATGTTTTTGATATGACATTTTTTATGTAAAAATATTAAATAATTTAAGTGAAATTTTAGTAATGTGTATTCTTTAAATGCTTGCTTATTTAGCAATGAATGAATTGATTAATTAATAGTTATCAAGTATGTATGTTTGGGCTTTATCTGGTTGTGTAACTATACTCTCTTTAATCGTGTAATTGGGATATCATTAAGTTTCTTTGGGATTTGGATCGTTATCAGTGATTCTAATTGTATTTACATCCATAGGTATGCATAGACAGACTTGAGTATATATTCATTTAAATTTATAATAATATATGTTGATTATCAATTCAACTTCATTTCACATAAAGACAGATTAATTAAAACAATTTAAATGTAAAAAATTCCTTAATTATGTAAATTATTCGTTTATATAGAAACTAGAGATTTCTCGATATTTTCTCCTATAATTAGAAGAATAAATTCTAAACAACATTGTAGTGTTAATAATCTTTATTGTTAATAATTTAATATTCAGCATCATAGACAAAGATAATCAAATTTATCTTTACCTCATTTAATAAGAATTCCAACTCTCGAATAAAATTATCAATACTTTTAAGATTTAAGTGAAAAGAATATCAGAAGTTATCTCTAACCATTAAGAAATGCAGTCGCTAAAATTACAGAAAAGAGATAAGAACAATTATACAGACGTAAATCAACTTATGGATAATTATTTGGTGAATTAACTAAAAAAGAAATGTGTAATCTTCCTACTCTTATAGAATAACATAAATAATATAACAAAAAAGAATTAGCATTAACAAGTTTTGCTTTGATGTTAGAAAGAAAATAACGAAAAAAAACAACCAGAAAACTTTCTAAAAAATTATCAAAATAAGAATCAATTATCGGTAATACATAATCTATTATATTAGAATTTGATAATATGGAGAGACCACCATCTTGTGTTACTCCACCAAAATCTATTTAGATACCTATTAAACCTAAATTAAAAACAAAAATTTAATTGGAAAAAGAAAAATATTTAAAAGACCAAGATTTTAAAATGGGTCACTTTTTAACAGGGAGATTATAATAAAATAAAAAATCATAACAAGAACTCAATAATAAGATTAGATACCATTGTCCAACATAATCTTGTGCTTCTCTACAAAATGGATAACTAAGTTCTTTTACTTCATCTCCAAAAGTCTTAGCAACTATCAAATCAAATACTTTGACTGTTATCTAAGATTTTAAACCAAAATCAAAAAAAACATTAACAAATACATTTACACAAACATTAACATAAACATTTAGACCTTATGCAAAACATAATACATTATTGTTAAAAAATATTTAGTAGATTTCTGTAATTAAAACTAGTATTGGATCAAAAAAAAATTCTAATAAAAATAGTAAAATTATATTTGAAAGCAATTAATATCTATATTGAGAGCATTTCATTTAAGTATTTATTCATCCTAAAGATGGTTTTCTATTAAATTAAACATTATTTTTATTATTTGATCTACATGATAAAATTGAATGAACTGAATGAGGAATATTCGATCTTACTCTATCAGTTAACATAGGTCTCTCATTCATATATTTTGAATCTAAATCTAGAATAAATATAAATAATAATTTACTAGGTTTATTTTCTTTCAAATTATTTGTTATAAGTGTTCTAGTTTATTCTAATTTTAAAAAAATATTATCTTTTGATAATTTCTTTTCGAATTCTTTAAAAATTGTATTAGATTAAAATGTTTTAGATTTTTAAAATAGATTACATTCTGTTTAAATTTTATAAAGACTATTCTAAGATACTATACTTTATAACCATGGATGACGTAATGCATCTGAAGGTTTTAATCGAGATTAGGCATCCCAAGTAAAGCATTTATTTAAAAAATCAACAAAATCATCATCTGTAGTTTTTAGAAGATCATGTAAATTTATTGATTTTGGATTTCGATAATATTTGATTGTTTTTTTAGGAATTCCATTTTCATCAAAAAAATGTTTTTTTCTAGGACATTTTTATATAAACTCAATTGAAGGTATTCCTAAAAGTTCCATTATTAAATGAAATTAATCTATTTCATTATCACCAGGAAATATTGGAGATCCTAAATGTATTTCTGCTATTAAACAACCAAAACTCCACATATCTATTTCTATTCCATATTTTAATCCAAATATAACTTCAGGTGCTCTATAATATCTATAATAAAATACAATATTTATTTACCTGCTTTAAATATATGTGTATACTTAATTTCCATCTATACATCCAGAACCAAAATCAACTAATTTAACAATTTTTTATCTAGTGTCTTACATCATCACATTCTCAGGTTTCAAATCACAATGAACAATATTTAATTTTTACAGATAATTTAAAGCCACTAAAATTTGTTAAGCAATCTATTTTAGAATATCATAATTAAATCCTCTAAATTTTTATTCTTTTAAAACTTCAAAAATGTTTTTCTCCATCTTTTCTAAAACTATACATTAATGACCACGAAATAGAAATTAATCTTCTATTCTCACAATATGTGATTAATTTAATGGATCTCGTTCTTTTACTAATTTTAAAAGATCTGCTTCAATTTAAGCTTATTTTTTTAATTTCTCTTAATTTCTAATAATTTTTAAAGCAAAGGTCTTCTTTGTTTTATGATCAAAAACTTAAAACACCTATCCAAAACTACCTTATCCTATAAGACTAATAATTTCATATTAATATCTAATATGATCTTAGGCATAACATAAATATTGTCCATTTGCTCCAGCTTCTATAATTTTACTTTGCTTATAATAATAAACTTATTTTAACTATTATAACTCCTGTATTTCACTTTATGTAAGATTCTAAGACTTAATAAATTAATCTACTAAAAGTGGATATTTAGAAATTATTTGGGTAGATGTATTCTCATTTTCTTTTTTTATTTTACTTTTGAAATTCTATATGATATTTTAAATGGAATGAATGTTTTTATTTGTATTTGAATAAACAGGTTTAACAGGTTTAAACTTCTTATCAGAATGAGGTCTTGAAGTATTCGGACTAGTAGGACTTGTTTCAATTTTACGTTTTGTCGAGAGAGGATGAGCAGTATTTAGAATTTATTTAAAAGCAGACATATCCAAATGAACAGAAAATTTCTTATGATCACCCAAATTCATCAACAAATCTGTTAAATTTATATAATGAACTTATAAAATTAATTATTAAAATCTATAATAAAAATTTCAGTCATTCTTTTTTGAATATAAATATCTCATTCTTTTGATTATTAATTAAATTAACATGATAAAAATATTTAAAAACAAAAGATGTTGTAAATGATTTTAGAGTTATTGAATTATTATTAGAATAAAAGAATCTATATTATTTTAAATTATATATTAAATAATTTGTATTATATAAGATATAAGAAATTAATAATAATAAAATAACTTTACATAAAATTCAAGAATTATGAGATTAAGTTTATTATTTATCTCTACTCAAACATCCAAATGCAGAAAATACTTTATCCATAAATCCCAATTCTTCTTATCTTGTTTATTATCCTTGAATTTCCCTTAATCCTTATGCCATTTATTATCGTTAGGAAAGTCTACTGACTCTAGCTTTAAATTCTTCCTCTTAATTATAATTTGAGGAAGCAGTTGATTTTGGGTTATTATTGTTATATTGAGAAACATAATTAGAAGATTTGGATAAAGGCTTCAAATTGGAATTAGTATTTGATGGAGGGTTTGTTACAAATGACCTTGTGATGATATCCTCATTTTAAGGAGAGATAGATCGATTTGATGAATCATTATGTTTATCTTCCTTATACATGTAAGATCTGAGATCTATACCATAGCTTTTATAGAATTTTTTCATCCAAGAATGTTCAAAGATCTAATTCATCGATAATCTTTCAATAGGATTATGTTTGAGTATTCCCTAGATTAAAGATTTAGCTTCAATTGATAGTTAAGGATCATATTCAATAGGTGTCATTTTAACAATATTATTACATTTCTCATTTTCAGTTCTTCCTTTAAAAGGTGCAAAACCATGAATTAATTCAAATAATAAAATACCCAAACACCAAATATCCAAAGTGAAAGTATATGGTTAATTTTTCAACATTTCTGGTGCCATATAATCTAAAGTACCACAAAAGGTTCTTCGAACTCCATTTTATGTAGTTTCTGCAGACCAACCAAAATCACATACTTTAATATTCCCTTATTTATCTAATAAAAGATTTTCTGGTTTAAGATCTCTATGTATTATATTTTTCTTATGCAAATAATCAATTCCTAAACAAGTTTAGAAAAAGTAAACAAATGCTTCATTTTCTGGAAGTCTTCTTCTTTTTCTTATATAACTGAATAAACTACCATTCTCTTAAATATATAGTTTATTATACCTGCTAATTCTAATATAAGAAATACATTTTCTTTGTCTTCAAAATAATGAAATAATTTAGTTATATGTGGATGTTACAATCTTCTTTATATCTTGATTTCTCTCTTTAAATTTTCAACAGAACAATACTCAAATATTTATTTTTTGTTCATCTATTTTAAATAATATGTCTTACCACTTTCATTGCATACATCTAACCATTTTATTTATCCTTAACCAATTTTACACAACCATAACTACCTTTACCTAATTCCATTTTATTATCCTTAACTATTAATTCAAAGTCTTCAGGACATCTACGAATTGATTTCAATGTTGATGCGGAATCATTCAACTCAGATAAACTCTTTCCTTTTATTTAGCGACAATTATTCTTATGAGATAATGTCCTACATTAAGATTTCAATTTACCAATCTGTGTCTCTACATTTCTATGAACAATATCTCATATTTTAACAAGTAGGACAAGAGTATATTGCATCAATTATTGCAGTATTAATACAATATTTATATGAGCACCCTTAATTCATTTAATAAAATATAATAACGCATTTAATTTATATCAATTTATGCAAAACTTTCCCATTGAAGCTAACTTATTTTTAGTATACTCTGGAGTAGGCAAATCCTTTAAATTCATTCCCAATTATCTAAGTATGTATGGATTTTAAGTCTGATTTGGATTTGGATTTGTAAGAGGATTATATTATTGGTTTTGTTCTGATATCACACTCCTTGCTGGTGTTGAAATCTATTATTTTTAACTATCATACATTATTTTATCTATCCTAACTGTACCAGTATACAGAATTAGCATGGTCATACCCATTCCATTTCGCATCAAATCTATTCTATTTTCGTTTTTATTATTGTTCTTGCAGTTATATTGATAGAATCGAACTATACTTCTCTTTTGATATATCTTCCAACTCTTTCTAATATCTGAATTGCTTCTCATCTTTCTCTTATTTCTGTTAAACGTTCTTTTTTATTATATCATCTAATCCTTCTTTTGGGTCTCTGTAATTCTACAAATACATTGCTTATAATTATTACTATCTATTTTAAACATTCTGATAATACTTTAATAATATCATTAATTATGTACTTATTTGTAATTATCTAACTTCCTTTATATTTTATTATTTTCCTAATGAACTTATTCCTTATATACTGCTTGGTCAAACTTTTTATAATTTTATTCATTAAGCTTCTTGATTTAGAATTAACCATATTACTAATCGGAGACTTATTTATAATAATCCTTTTTTTATTATTCATAGAATTTAGCCATAGTTTAACCTAACTTTGCAGTGTCAACAATTTGTTATTCAATAGATTATTATTCTTGTCTCTATCAATATAGATAAGATTACTAGCTATTGTTGGACAATTCTTTAATTAGTTAGTGAATTTTCATACCATTTTGATAAATCGTTTTTGATGTACTATTTATTTTATCCTTCCATAAGGTATTGCATTTCTTTTTCTTTTTTGAGATTCTCTAAGTATAATTGTTCCTCTCTTTATTTTTGTGTAGTTAGAGATCTTTTCCTTTTCTCCATTTCTAATTGTTGATCAAAGAGTTGTTATTTAAGAAGCTCCTATTAAACCATTCTGAAATCTCTTGCTTGATCCTACAATTAACGATTTACATCAAATTCTTTATACTCATCATATTTGATTGGCAAAATCATATTTTAATAATAAAATTTGAGTACTTCTCAATAATGAATTCATCTACTTCCCTCTTAAAAAAGAATAACAATGATTAATAAATGAGAGATATCTTGCAATTAAATTAAAAATAACTATTGCGAACTTATAAAGATGATGTTTCCATGATTTAAACAGCTAAGGATGCGATAGTATATAATTTTATTTAATATAGACTTCAAGTGTTCATATGAGTAATCTAGCAAAAGATAGAAAAGATTAATATGATATTGTATTAGCTTAAAGAAAGTATTTATGGAAATAAGAAGAATAACTCTATGATGAAATTGATTAACTTAGAAATACCCATAAAAGGTATTAAGAAAGTCTTAATCGTTATGGAATTAGAAATAACAATCTAGAAGATGAAATTTAAAGTAAGTTTGAATAGGTGAATTCAAAATTAAATTTCATTTAAGAAGAAAAAAACCAGATCTAAAAAAATTTTAATTTGATACAATAATCTTTAGTAAATAGTAAATCTAAATTATCTAATAATGGACAATTCGTTATTGAAAGCAATTAATAATATGATCAATTAGTAAATTTCATTCGCTCTTAAGAATAAAAGGTTAAAGTACTTAAGAATGATCAAACTAATTTAGCTATTAATTAAATTATACCATTTGATTCTAAACTTTAATAAAGTATGCATTTCACGTAATTATAATTAAGTGGCTTAAGACACATATGAAAAGTAGTAAAAATATACATATCAAGGAACTAAATTTTAAGGCAATGAATTACAAAAAATAGCAGCATTTAGTACATTAAGAAAGAAGATTGAATAACATGTTTAGAGGAAAGGATTTTAAGATTCTATTTTGGATATGCCGTTTAAATTAGATTAAAATTATTAAAAAGAAAACAAAAATAAAATAGCTTATGATTCAACTCTATAAGAACTTGATGAATTTAGAAAAGAATATGTTGCATAAGGAGGAAATGATCCAAAATTCTTAAATGAGATTAATGAATTAGAAAGATAATACAAAGAAAGTCATCCTCTTGGAATTTTTGATTAATTTAATTAGATTTAAGATAAAAAAGTAGAAAGACCAGATTAAGTATCTTAGAATCCAATTTTTTCATATTTACCACAAGAATATTAGAAGGATATTTTAGATTTGGAATAAAAAATAAGAGAAAAGTAAGAACCAGATTTAAAGAATCTTTAAATGAACAGATAATTGTTAAAAACTTAATTGAATGTAAATGATTCAAGTAAAGCTGATGAAATAATATTGGAAAGTCTCAGATAACAAGAAAGTGAATTACTTTTAAAATCTAAAAATAATGAATATTATAAATTGAAATATAATGAAATATAGAAATTAAAATAGATTCATGAACGTAACTATTTGGAAAAGAAAGTTTAAGAATAATTATCATTAAGATAAATAGAAGATGATATATTGAATTTTAATGATAAAAGATAAACAAACTTAACTTATTTATAGTAGATATAATAGAATATTGGTACAAGACCTTTATTTTATGATTAAGATTCTGGATTTGTTGTGAGAATTGATTTTGTTAATAAATTACCAATATGTTATGATTATGTCAAACTTGGTTATGGTGTATTTATAAAAAAGTATAGATTATGAAAATATTGATAGTGTTGATGAACCAAAGACAATAATGAATACAAATTAGCATGAATGTGCTAATGAGAATATATATTCTAAGAAATGTATAATTTAAGAGAGATTTGTAGAAAAGAATCGTGAAATTTAATAGGATACATATTTATATTTAGTATTATGGTGTTTTAGTTAAGATTTTGGTAGTGGTATGGTTCCTATATAAGTTGGTTGGACAATGCATAAACTATTTGATGATGAGAAATTAATATCAGGAGGATATTTGTTACCAATTTATAATTCAATTTTTACATATGAACTTTAAAGATTACCTGAAATTTAAGAAATTAAGATAGGATTACGTATATGTCTACCTGGAGATGAAAATTTAGATTTAGACAATAAAATAATGAATCTAGCAGATTATAAAATTTAATAAATTCATTCGAAATAATCAGAATTAATTGAATAAGAAAGATAAGCTATGTTCAAGGAATATAAAATTATTCAACTTCCTGAAGAATATATTGAAGTACGTACAAATGATATTAAATTATGGAAATCAGAACTTCCTCCTAATGTTTATAAACTAATTGAATATAATTTTATGAATGAAGAAGAAGCAGCCTTAAAATAATAAGAAATGGAATTAGAAGAAAGAAGAATGAATAGATTAAATAGACCTGTAAGAAGAAGATTTATGGCTAAATAAGGTACCATAGCTAGAGGATCTTCTGAAAGAAAGAAAACTTAATTAACATTTAAATAGAGATTAGCAATGAAAAAAGGAGCAGCTACTCCTGCTACTTCTAAATCTAAAACTTAAGAAAAAGAATAAACATCAAGACCATAAAGTAAAGCAGCAGATACTTCCAGAACAAAATTAGATGATTCTAAACCTTCTACTAAAATTTAAGAAAAAGAAAAAAGTGTAATCATTCCAAGTAAACCACGAAAGTTGATGTTTAAATTAAGATCATTATCTTAAATTTATGTAGGAGGTATTACAACCTTGACTTTAAAGTTAGCTTTATTTTAAGGTATCACTTTATTAGATGATGATGATAAAAATATGTGTGTTTTTAGTAAAGAGATAGAACCTGATGAAAAGGGAGATAATTATCTTAACTTTAATGAATCATTTACATTTGAATTAAATCTTACTGATTATTTTTAAGACTATGAAGAAAATGAAATCTTAAATACTTATTTATTTATTGCAATCTTTAAAGAAATAAATAACTTATTTGGTTGGCATGCTATTTAAGCATTCGATACTTCTGATGAATAATTTAAAGTTAAAAGTGGTATTTATTATGAAAATTTATTTGGAAAACCAGGATAAGCTCCTCCCTTTAATTTTAATAAAGCAAAACGTTTAAACACATAAATAAATTTTATTATGATGTAAGATGATGATCGTGTTTTACAATTACCCACAATAGATAATTATAAGCTAGATCAAAAATGTAAATTATTATATATTTATGAATATAGTGTTAACTGAAGAAGATAAAGAAAAAAGAAAGAAAATATATTCAGTTGCAAATCCAAAATGGAATACTTAAATACGTTTAGACATTTCTTCTTTTAGAAACTTTTAATCTAAGGATGATTTCATTATGAAAACCATAGTGATTGAAGGAGATAATATAATAATAGATGCAATTGACAGACAATGTATAAAATTTGATCAAGTAAAATTATTTGAAGGAACAGGAAAAGGTGAATTTATAGCTAATCATTTAATAATTTTAAGAATTGGTACTAGATATTTAATAGATACATTTACAACTACTTTTAAGAAATTAAATTATTTGTTTAGTTTCTTTATAAAATAATAAATTGTTGGAGTTTGTTAATTTCCATTATTTTCAGCAGGAGGAGCATTAAATGTTGGATCATAAAAATTAATGGTTCATGATCTTGATGATAGTGGGAAAATAGGAAAAAGAACAACTAAAGAAATGTATTTATTCATTCAAGAGGAATCATTAAATTTAAAAGATATTGAAGAAACTCCTAAATATGCTTAATAAACAAAAGAATAAAAAATAGTTAATAAATAGGATTAGAGTAAATACTTAATAATTGAAATTGATTAACTTACAGATTACTTAAGTTAACAACCAATAGATTTTACAATTTAAGTTTATAATGGAGAAGAACCAGCTATTGATTCAGATGGTGTTATTTGTGTATACACAAGCACAAATTCATATTAACCTAAACCAAATTTTTCAGTTCCTATTAATGAAGCTGTTTATTTTAAAATGGCTATAAATGCTATCATTGAAAAAAAACAAGGTTTAGATAATTATTAAGTTTTTATATCATTTTCAGATTTAGGATGGATTAGTTTTCAATTATTTCTAAATGGAGAATTAAACAGTTCTGATTTTGTTGGGAAATTATTTAGAGGAGAAGTACCTGCACCACCAGTAGATTATACAAATATGAAGAAAATTAATACAAAAGTTTCTTATTTTGTTAAATATGATTTGAGATAAACTGAAGAATTTAGACGTAGTGTGATAGAAGAAAGTCGGTCTGGAGTTATTAGAAATGAATCATAGAAATTTACAAAAGCATTACCAAATGAATAGGTTGGTTTAATATCATCTAGAAGAATTATGAATTCAAATGAAAATTTAGATAAGTTATCTATAGTATTGATCAATGTGAATGGATTTGTAAATTAATAAAAGTTATAAGTAAAAGGAATATTATTAATGGATGGTAAGACCTTACTGGATAAATATAATATGTCTTGCACCTTTAAAAGTGATAAAGTAGACAATTTTTAGAAAGTGGCTTTTTTTAATAATGTTCGTTTTACTTTTTCTGTAGACATCACTTCTTTATAAATGGAATCATATGTATTTCTTTCAGTTTTGGATGAAAAGGAGACTGTAATTGCTTGGTATGGTAAGAGATTGGTTTAAGCTGTTGGAAAATTGATTAGAGGATAACAATTTGAATATCTTTTTGCTCCTCCTCTGATGAGACCACCATTAGAGTTATCAAAAATAACAAATCTGTAATAATCAATTCAATTTGAAGTGAAATGAATATTATGATACATCACTATTAATTAATGTTATTTTGGATTTTTTCATTTATATTAGCAACAGGGGTATATTTAATAGTGAATCCTTTAATCACTATGTTCAAACTTAAGTTGTAATTTGGAAAGGCTGTATATTGTAAATATTTACCAATTTTTGGTATAATATAGGTTTATAGAAAATCATTCAAAATTACAGGTAATGTGCATCAATGGATTATTGACATTATAACTAAGCATCCAGATGTTAAATTTGTTGTTGCAAACTCAATCCATAAGCCAGTAATAGTTTTAATAGATTCTGAATATTACAAATATATATATTAGAATCATGATCTAGTGAGTAAACATGATTAAAGTGGAATTAAAGAGTATTTGTTTGATTATGATAATAAGTTTTTTACTTTAGGGTGGATTATTATTTACAGAAGGGTCAAAATGGTAATAACAAAGAAAATTGCTTGGAGATCATTTTCTATTCTAAAAATTAAAATCACGGATTCCAATGATAAATTAAGTGATAAAAGAGAAAATTATTGAAATGCCTAAAGTTGAGAAAGTGTTTGAATTTATATGTTCTATAACAGGAGAAGTTGTTATAAGAAGTTTTTTTGGAGAAGAAGCAGAAGGTTGGAAAATTAATGGAAAAGAAGCTTAAATTGAATTAGGGGAAATTATTGTATAATTTGTCAAATTAAGAGTGAATAATTTTTTTGTCTATTTTAAATAAAAGGTTTTAGGAGTTAAATCTTGGTAATATAGTACAAAAAAAGAAAAAGAAGTTTTGGATAGAGTAATAAAATTTAAATAAGATATAAAAGAAGTTATTTTTAAAAGAAGAGATAAGATTAAATAATAGGGTCACAAATAAGAAGGAGGAGACTTTTTGGATTTATACTTAAAAATATTTATGGAATAAAATGTGTATAGTTCTGATAGAATTGAAACCGATGAAATAGTTTCTTAATTTATAACTCTTTTTTTTGCTGGTACAGATACCACTGGTGCTTTGGTTGCTAATTGTTTATTATATATTTCTGAAAATAAATAATATTTACATGAATTAAGAAATGAAGTTAAAAATGTAGTTGGAGATGGTGATATTACTGCAGATAATCTTAATTAATTAGTATTAATTGAGAGTTTCTTAAAAGAAGTTATGAGAGTTAGACCATCAGTAGTTTATCCAATAGCTAGAAAAGCTAAATAAAATATTTAGATTAAAGATCTTTAAATTTAAAAAGGAACTCTACTTCTTTTGGGAAATTTCTTGGCTAATATATGTCCATTAAATTATGATAACCCTCTTGAATTTAATCCAAAAAGATGGTTATAATAAAAACCAATTATATAGGATAATGGTTTTATAAATATTCCATTTGCTGCTGGACCTAGAAATTGTATTGGATAACATATGGCAATGATTGAAGCTAAAATTATTATGGCTCACATTGTTAGAAATTATGATATTGTAAGAAATTCTTAGATACCAAAAGTTTTATGGCCATCAAGAGGAGCATAAACATTCATACCAGAAAATAGTGTTCATCTTTTAAAAGTATGAAAATATACAATAAAATATTAAATAAACATTTTTTTTTATTTTTTTAAACTTGATCCAAAATATTTAGAATATTCTTCTCTACTAATTTACAAATAATCTTGAATTTCATTCCTTATATTAGATTTATAAAGAATCTACAAAACTAGATTATTATATAAATATAATGAGTCTAATTATTTATAATAAAACAATTTCAGTTTATTCGCATTTTATATAAATTTAAAAGACAATATTAAAGCTAATAAATATATATGATGTTTGAATTTAGTTTTAAAGAAGTTGAAATAATAAAATTCAATATATAAAAAGACATAAATGAAGTTTTAAATCAAGACATCAAATAAATTAAGAGAATCCACATTGACTACATTTTTATTAATAAAAGTAATTCTAGCATTAACAAATCGAACATTTCTTCAAAAAAGAAAAAGACTTATTCAAACTTTCACTTTTTTTAGATAAATCCTCAAGGAACAATGCTTATGAAAAAACAACATCTTCATCATCATTGCTTTCTACTGAGCTATGACTGCTCCCTCCTAAATCTTATTCTTAAAGCTTTATTGTTTAAAATATTTATAGTCCTTAATCAATTTTATTTGGAATAAATCTTGTTCCAGGTGCATCTCTTGTGCATTATTAACATCTATTACAAATTTTTCGAAATGAATAATTTAAGTTTCTGCATTCAGCACAAATCCAATCACAAGGTTTGTTTTACATTTTTAATTATTTGCTAATTTTTTTATTTTATTATTCATCTTCTTTTCCTATAAATCAATTATATAATATTGCAAAAATTAATGAAAAAACCGACGTTTGATTCAATTAATAACATTCTTAGTCTTAACGTATTTTTTACTCATAATGTATACTGAGCTATTAGACTCAATTCAATCCATACCATATATCATCTGTTTTTCTTATCTAAACTATAAAAATACTAGTCAAAATTAAAGTCATAATCCAACCTTTAAATATAATTTTTTATCATTTTTTCATTCAAATCTTCATTTATAGGAATGTAAAATTATCAATTTTATTGAACCTTTATTGTTCAATAAACTATTTGAGTATAAACAAAATTTAGATTTCTTAATTTAATTTAATTTCAATTTTTTTATTTTTTATCATTAATAGATGCTCTATTTTTTATTAAATAAAATAAATTTAATTTTAGAAATAATCTTTTTTCTTTTATGAAGAGTATTATTTTTAATTTTAATATATATATATATATTTTATTTTTACATGAATATTAAAAATCAAGAAATAATTTATATGATAGAAATACTAATCTAAAAAGCTTACAAATGATTTATTGGTGAAGTATATAGTACTTCATAAGAATTCTCATCTATTTTTTGTAATTTTATCAAGAATTATTCTGATGTTATTTCTTTTTTGTAAAGTACAGACCATAAATTTTATTTTTAAAATTTAAAGATGTTGTAAAATTCAAAGAATTAATTATTTTACTAAATGATTTCCTTATTTTTCTTAAAATAAATAGGAGAATAAGAATAAATTTAATTATTTTATAAATTTATTTTTGGAATATGACACTAATATATAAATATGTTATTACTTTTAACTCATTTTATTTACAAATGCTTCCTAAATATTTTCGGTAAAATGATTAATTAGTACATTTTTTTGGACTCATTCCACCATCCTAAAAAACATAAAGCTTTCCACTATCAAAAACTTTAATTTTCCCAACTAAAGCTTTACTCTCCGAATTTATAATATATTTCTATTTTAATAATCCTACTTTTGAAGCTTCCATTAACATAAGGTCAAAAATATAGAATTAGAAGGAATTGTCAATCTTTCTAATTTAAGCAGGCATTATTCTATAAATATAATTCTATATTAAACTTCTTTGACAATATAGGCTATTAAATAAATTCAATTTTATTGAAGGGAATCCTAATAGATTATATAGAGATTATCTCATTTTAGTCTTAAAATTCATTTTCAGTATTGATTCCTTGAAATCTATCATATAAACTTTGACTTTAATCAACACTGTTTAATGAAACATCAACTATTTAGCTAAGTTGACGAAAATCATTCGAATTTTAAGATATCATAAGATAAAAAAATTATTAATTAGAAAATGACAATTAATTTTAGGTTAACTGCAACCCAAATTTAAAAAATTTTTGTTTCATTATTTAAAATACAATTATATGTGATTTAAAGTTCTTTTGAATATGATTTGATCATATCTAATTAGTATTTAATATAATTGATTTTAATAATAAATAAAATAAAGAAAAATATATGAGAACTTTGAAAATTTGATCAATATTGGTAATATAGTCTCTAACTATTTTATTTGGATGGCTATTTTTTCTTTTGGTTTTCTGGAGATAAGACTTGCTTTTAATAAATGTCCTTTTTAAGTAGGAAGCTATGTTACTTTTTAAGGTTTTGGCAAAAGTAATTATTTTGACAAATGCTCATATGCTGCTTTTTATGATGGAACTTACAAACTGTTTTTGAATTATGTTGTATTAATTAATTTTGCTTTTTATATGTAATTTTCTATATCTTTTTCTAGACTCTTATCCAAAACAAACCAATTAAACACTCTAATATTTTCATGTCTAATAAATTAATATCTTAAATTATGAAACAATTTCATTTTTTCTGTCACAAATTTCATTTAAGTATACAATTCATAAAAACTAATTGCTTACTAATATTAATAATAAATAACCATCTTTAACGCTAAATTAAGAATAAAATTCAATTTATTCCTCAACTTCTTTTTTAAAAAACAAATACTCATTAATACAATCTTTATAGATTAGAATTGCTATATCTTTCACAATATTCTATTAGATAAATTAATAAATCATACAGTTATTATTAATTATTTAGGGATAATTTTTTATATAAATGGAATCATAGCCAATTTAAAATTGAGTAAATTTAATAATTTGAATAACCATAAATACTAAACTCTTCTATTATTAAACTCATCCTAATATGGATATTACATTCTTTAAGAAGAGTAATAAATATCAGAATTATTAGCTGCTCTTTATAGATAAGAATAATAAAGTTTTGTTAATTCTGTATCAACATCATCCAATTATGAAGTATACTATATAATAAATTTGATATATACTTCTGATGAATTCAAATAACAAATAGTTTTTTATTATTATTAAGTCTAGAGGGATACAGTATGATTAACTTAATAAGTATGGATATGTCTTTGATCTTAAATTTTCCCAAAAATTATCTTTTTTAACATATATTTAGTACCTTTCCTTGCTGAAAGCATTAGGTTACTTAATCAAAATCATCAATTTAACCTGCAATGATCATCATGTGAATAGTGTATAAGACTTTTAATTCTTCAAGTATGGAGGTTGTTGATCTATTGAAAAGTTGCTTTCTTTTTTTTTCACTTTAAATAATTGCTTTAATGTCTTCTAACTACACAATTTGTGAATTAGTATCATATATTGTAGAGTATTCTACTTAAACTTCAGAAATTATTTCTTCCTTCTTACTTTTGAAAATTGACTTAAATATTTTCATTATTTATTTATTTGTTATTTCGAAATAGTTATTATTTATTATAAATAATATTCTTTTTTTGATTCTTAAATTTTCTATATAATAGTATAAAAAATAGACAATTTAAGTAAGAATATTTTCATACAAAGATAGAAGATTAAGCATATAATTAATAGAGAATATGAAAATCATAGATATTGTTGCAATTTTGCATAGCATAAACAATCAAAGTGATTTTTTACTAATAAAATCACCAATCTTTAAATGGATCATTATTTTATTTGATTGGATCTGGCAATTCTGTACTATCTGGATAAACAGCAAAATTAGATGTATCGTCATCAGATCTAATAATAAATATAAAAATTACCTTATTGATGGCAAGTATTTAGCTCTAATTTATTTTTTAATCAATTAATCCCAATTTAATGTTTAATACCATTTATGTTATTTAATATCATTAGCTCCATTTTTTAGATTTCCTAATCTTTTAGAAACGTCTGAAACTAAAAGATTTTTAATTAAATCTTTAGCATCATTATCAAAATTTTTAGGAAACTTCACTTTTCCTTTGAGAATTTTTTGATAAATTGCCATAGGATCTTCATCATTAAAAGGATCAATTCCTAATGATCAATAATATTTAATTACCAGCTAACATTTCATAAATAATAATTCCCAAACACCACCAATCAACTGGTCTACCATGTCCTTTATTCAAAAGAATTTCAGGAGCAAGATATTCAGGTGTTCCACATAAAGTATAAGTATGATCTTCAACTACTTTTGCAAATCCAAAATCTGTCAATTTTAAATAACCATTTTATTAGACAAGTAAATTTTCTGGTTTTAGATCTCTATATACAATTGTCTTTGAATGTAAATACTCAAACATTAATACAATTTAAGCTGAATAAAATCTAAATAATATTATATAATTTACTATGCTTCATCATCTTCTATTGTACCTGCATTTCTTAAATAAGTGAACAACTCTCCACCTTGAATATACTCTAGAACAAAATATAAATATCTTTCATCTTAAGTGTAGCCTAATAATTCAATCTAAATAATGAATTATAGAAATACAATAAAAGGATGTTAAATTTAATTAAGTATTTTGAATTCAGAACTAATATGATCAACTTATTTTAATCTAAGAATTTCACATTTCTTTAACATCTTAAGAGCAACAGGTTTTTAATTTGATTTCTATTTTGCTAATCTTACCCTACCAAACGAACCAGTACCAAGAGTTTAGAGTATTTCAAAGTCTTAGAGTTTCACTTACTTATTCTGCATTTACTTTAATAATTAAAAATAAATAATGTCATTAGGAAAGAGATAATTATCAGGTTCAAAGTTAAAATTTGATGCTGATTATTATAAAAATGTACCAGACCAACTATAAAAAAAAAGACCTGGTTCAGGTTAACCATAATCAACTATTACTTCTCCATTACCTCCTAGAAAACCAGTTTATTCTGGGAAGTTAAGAAATATTATACCCACTTCAGAAAATGTTAATTAATAACAACGCATAATTAAAACCAGCAATAGTTAATAAAAATAATAATTAAATCCATCAGTTAGTCAATCTTAATTACCAGGAGTAGTATGAAAATTTATTATTTATTTTATAGGTGAACTCACTTAAAATTAATAAGCCTCCATTGTAATTAGATAGAAAACTTATTTTACCTAAATAGAATACATCATCATAAATTTCAATTAAAAGTTCCTAAGTTTCTAATCAAATATCAACTGGAGAAAAAAAAATTATTTAAAAATTAATTGAAAAACCAGGCACTTTAACTAGTCCAGGATTAAATGATAAATAATTTACATGGAATAATTAAATTGAACTTATAGTAACTTAATCAGATTTTGAAAATGTAAATATTTTAATATAGCAAGAAAAGAAGGCAAATATCGCATGAGAAATTAAAATAAATACCAAACAAACATTTTTAATAATAATAAACTATTGATTAAAAAAAACCTACTTAACCCATAATCTAATAAACATAATAATCTCATATTGTAGTTCCATAACATAGATAATTTATTTAACCATAATAAATTTAAAAGAAATAAGATTTAAATCTTAAATAATTAAAAAATAGTTAATCTTAAACATAGTTATAAACAAGCTAACCTAAATGTTTTATTGATTTTACAATGACTTCTGGAAAAAATGATCTGTAATAAATCTTTTAATCAATGAAAATGGAATTAAAAGAAGCGTCATCATATGGTGAATAACATCCAAATTTAAATATGAGTGGTAAAAATAAAATAATTATTATTCCTATAGAAATTTAAGAACAATCTGATGATGCCAATTCATCATTAGCTTAAAGTACTTTATATTAAAAGTGACTATAAAATCACAATAAAATTGAGTTTATATTTCAAAATTTAAATGTCTTTTAAATTGGTTTAATTTATTCATTGTATATAATATCAATTATCCATATTATGTTTATAAATGTTATAATAAAAATCAACCAAATAATTATAACTTAAACATAATAATTATTATTATTCATAATTAGATTTACATGACTGATTAATCTTCATATTATGATAGTATTGATGAAGGCTAGTATGAGGCTAAAATAGGAGAGAAATTGAAAAACAATTAATATTAAATTATTAAATGGTTAGGAGATGGAACATTCTCTAAAGTTTGGTTAGTAAAAGACTTAATAAATTAAAATCATTATGCTCTCAAAATTTAAAGTTCAGAATATTCTGATGCAGCCATAGAAGAAATAGATATTTTAAAGTATTATTGTATTTTAATAAAGAATTTTGAATTAAAATGAAAATTCACCTAAATGGCTTAACATTTAATAAAACATAATTGGGATTTAATAATAAACACATTGTGTAAAAATGATTGATTCTTTTGTTCATATAGTTGATGAATCATTACATCATTGTGTTGTAATGGAAATTTTGGGACCTACTCTATTAGATTTAATTAGATTTTATGAAAAGAAAGTATTAAATTAAACTATGATTAGAATTCTAGTATTAGTATTTAATTAGGGAAAGAGATAACAAAATAGATATTAATTGGATTGATATATGCTCATGATGTTTGTTAAATTATACATACTGACATAAAACCAGAAAATATTATGATCGAATTGAATGAACAGTAATTAAAGTAGTTAATTAATGAAGATGAAACAGATGAAAAGAAAAAAAAGTAATAAGAGAAAATATTTAGAGGGTTAAATGTAATAGCATAAATATTGGGGATACTTTTGTCTGGAAAGAAAATGTAATAATTAATGTAAACACTGACCTTAAATTTAAATTAGTCGATTTTGGAAATGCTTGTTAAACTAATTAATAATTTGAAGAAATTTAAACTAAAGAATATAAATCTCCTGAATCTATTATTTAAGCAACTTATTAAACAAATACAGATATTTGGTCATTGGCATGTGTTGTTTTTGAAATCTTGACTAATAATTACTTATTTAAACCTGAAGGAGATACTGAAGAAGATGAAATGGATGATTTATTAGCTATGATGATAGAATTGATTGGATCACCAAAATAAAGCTTTTTAAGTAAAGGTAAAAGAAGTTCTTTGTATTTCGAATATAATGGAGANCTTAAACATAATAATTATTATTATTCATAATTAGATTTACATGACTGATTAATCTTCATATTATGATAGTATTGATGAAGGCTAGTATGAGGCTAAAATAGGAGAGAAATTGAAAAACAATTAATATTAAATTATTAAATGGTTAGGAGATGGAACATTCTCTAAAGTTTGGTTAGTAAAAGACTTAATAAATTAAAATCATTATGCTCTCAAAATTTAAAGTTCAGAATATTCTGATGCAGCCATAGAAGAAATAGATATTTTAAAGTATTATTGTATTTTAATAAAGAATTTTGAATTAAAATGAAAATTCACCTAAATGGCTTAACATTTAATAAAACATAATTGGGATTTAATAATAAACACATTGTGTAAAAATGATTGATTCTTTTGTTCATATAGTTGATGAATCATTACATCATTGTGTTGTAATGGAAATTTTGGGACCTACTCTATTAGATTTAATTAGATTTTATGAAAAGAAAGTATTAAATTAAACTATGATTAGAATTCTAGTATTAGTATTTAATTAGGGAAAGAGATAACAAAATAGATATTAATTGGATTGATATATGCTCATGATGTTTGTTAAATTATACATACTGACATAAAACCAGAAAATATTATGATCGAATTGAATGAACAGTAATTAAAGTAGTTAATTAATGAAGATGAAACAGATGAAAAGAAAAAAAAGTAATAAGAGAAAATATTTAGAGGGTTAAATGTAATAGCATAAATATTGGGGATACTTTTGTCTGGAAAGAAAATGTAATAATTAATGTAAACACTGACCTTAAATTTAAATTAGTCGATTTTGGAAATGCTTGTTAAACTAATTAATAATTTGAAGAAATTTAAACTAAAGAATATAAATCTCCTGAATCTATTATTTAAGCAACTTATTAAACAAATACAGATATTTGGTCATTGGCATGTGTTGTTTTTGAAATCTTGACTAATAATTACTTATTTAAACCTGAAGGAGATACTGAAGAAGATGAAATGGATGATTTATTAGCTATGATGATAGAATTGATTGGATCACCAAAATAAAGCTTTTTAAGTAAAGGTAAAAGAAGTTCTTTGTATTTCGAATATAATGGAGAATTAAAAAGAATTAAAGTATATCTTTTATTTTATTAAGGATTTACAAACAGTTCACTTAAGTTCTACTTTAATTGAAGATTATAATTTTCAAGAGAATGAAGCAAAAAAGTTAGAAGAATTTATTCTCTTCGCATTAAAATGGGATCCTCTTGAAAGACCTTCTTCTTAAATCATTTTCTTGCATCCTTGGCTTCGATAATGAATAATATATAAAAATACAAAAATAATTTTTACAATAACAATATTGAATTCTCTATATTCTCTATATTTTTAATATACATGAATTATTAAATTAAATTTTAAATATATGTAATAATTCTAATTCTAATAGATATAAATAAAGCATGACATTTATTATAAAATCATTTAAACAAACAAGAAAAATGATGCAATTAATCAATATCACTTATTTTAACATAAGGTTAAACAAAATTTCCATTTTCTGTCTAAATGAACACCTAATTACATGTTGAACATTTCAATCCTTTAAATAATATCTTAAGAGTTTCTTCAATATATTAAATTATTTCTGTGAAATTTTTTCTGCTTAATTTTTTATTTTGAACATTAAATATTAATTACTTGAACCATTAATTGACTTATTTCATAATCTCAAGTTCATGTTGCTTATCCTATTTTTCCATCTTTTAAGATCCATCACACAAAAATACTTCAATGTCTAGTATTGAAATAGCCATTTAAGTCTAAAATTAGTTTTGTATTAAATTTCTTATAATATCAACATTCTTTATTACTCGAACAAAAAACCATTTATATTGTTCATCTTTTCTTCTGTAATATATTATCTGGTTTTCTTTTTCCTTTTAAAATTTTGGATCTTTAATTTCTTCAATCTCATAATTTAAAGGATTCTCAACTAAATAAATTTACTAAAATTCTTTATATAGTAATTTTTAGACTTTATTGTTGAGTAATTTATTATCTTTAGTCAACTGCGATATCTAATGATATATTTATTTTCCTCCTATAAATTATAGATATAATTTTTTATAATTTTCTAATCTACTATTTACACTATCCTCTTTTTTCTCCAATTAAGCCTTCACCTAATAATATATTTAGGGGTGGTCTGAATAATATTAAATATTAATTATCTGTTCAGACATTAAATAGTGAATCTCTCCCAAAATCCTTTGCATTTATTATGCAATTCCCCATTCTTCAGCTTCAAAATTTTATTCTTCCACCTCCATTGTTCTTCTCATTCGAAATTTATTTTATATATTTACTATTTTTTTTCTTTATATCAATAATATGCATTTATAAAGTAACAAAAATTTAGTATATTTTAAAAAAGATTAAACAATTATATACTTGTTAATAACCAAGTTATTTTATAGGACACTTTTTTTTAATTTTGTTATTTCATGCTAGATCTACATTTCATTCTAAATAATTCTAATTTTTTTGAGAACCATTTATCTGAAACCAATTTTATTACAATATCATTTTCTCCTGGTTTTAAAAAACATCATTTCATCATTTTTCAGAATTTTGAGTTTGTTTAGCGAATTGAGATAATTTTTTAACTCTTATTTTTGTTTTTAAAATCCCCACTCAAATTGATGAATCTCCTTTCTGGAAATTCAGATAACTCAAATGGCAAATTACATTATTTTTATGTTATAATCCTGTTGCCTTAAATATTTATATCTTTAACTAAATTTTCAATTGAATCACATAAATTAAAAAATGGTAACTAGGTGATCTTCAAATTTTAAAGTATTTCACAATTAAAATAATAAAAAATATTTTTAATATTCTTATTATTTTAATTTATGAAAAAAAAAGATCTTATTTTCATGCTTGACTGGCTATATAATATATTTAAAAACTTTTTTAAGAACTATTACTCATAAAATATTAAAATAAAATAATAGATTCTATAGGCTTCTAAATTCAATTTATTAAATAATATTGCAATTTGATTAAAAAGTTTTAGGTAAATAATTTTAATCAAAAAACTAATTAGAGATAATTATTAAAAATTCTTTTAAAATATAGTTTTATTAATTTTTACATTAGAAAATTTCTTAATAATCAAAACATCTGTCATAATAAATTAACTTAGAAATGATAATGCTAGAATAACTCTTTCATAAAAAATAAACAAATAAAACAAAATAAGCAATAAGAATTAGCTATTCTAATATTCCAAAAAAAGACAAAAATAGCAAATATAATTTTTTTTCTTTGCCATCTATTAGATTATTTAAAATATAGAAATTGCTTTGTTGAAATTAGCTAAATTCGGATGATATTCTGTCATCAAGAGAATGTCAAATATTAAATATTAAATTAGAAACTTTTGAATACTCCTTTATAAATGTAAAACTTAAAATTATATAAAAATTTTGGATTTCGAATAGCATTACTAAAATTTAATTTGAAAATAGTAATAATTTTCATAAATAATCATTTATTTGAAATGTCTTGAGGAATAGTTTTAAAAGTTAATTTTTATGTCTTTTTATAAAATATTAATAATTAATTATGTTTTTACTAATTCTATTCATAACTTGTAATGCTTTTCATCATTAGGGAACATTATAAACAAATTATACTTTGAATCTTACCCTAAATTTTACTGATCAAGCTCCCAGTATTGTGATCAAGTTTTATTTGCCAATAGCAAGATAAAATTAAAAACTTGTTGCTTGCTTTGTATCATTAGATAATTTATCATAATTATCTTTTAACTTAGATGAACTTAAATTAAAAACCTAAACAAAAATTTCATATGATTTTCACAGCATTCAATCAAACAGTGATATATAATTAGTTTAATATCCTTATTATCCAATGGTTTATTTGTTTTGTTAATCCGAATAGAGTGTATCAATTAATTACGAGCTAACATACCTAGAAGAATTTTTAAATCCATTTTGTATAAATAATTGTAAAGGATATAGTGAAGTAAAAAATCAAAATAGTTCTCGTTGCAAAAGAGATTATTGTGAATGTTAAATTGATAGACTTGGAGAATTTTGTTAATTAAGTTCTTCATATTTAATAAATAACAACTGGGTTAAAGTAAAGTTAGATTCTTATTAATGGAAATATTTTTATTATCAAATAAAAGATATAAATATTGAATTTCATTCAAACCTAGATTATTATGATAACTCTATTAGTAATAATAATTTATTTAATATAGTGTATAGTTTAGAATTAAGATAGTTTAATTGGTAATTGATTCCAAATAAGAAATAGAGTTAAAATTTAAAAAACTGTTCACATTTATATGAGATTTTAGATAACCTAATTAATGAAGATTCTAATTCAAATATTTTATACATAGGATTTTTTAATAACAAGAGTTCCTAAGTTGAATTTAATTTGAGTATTGTAACAACATCATCAAATGATGACTACGATTAAGCTGAAAGAAATAAATTAATACTTATAATAATTGGTTCAGTTGTTGGTTTCTTATTATTACTGTCATTTTTTTTAAGCATATTCAATAATTAAAGAAATCATTAAATTGAAAGAGAGAATACAGAATAAAATTTAGAATAGATATAAATTGCATATAAATCACCTACAGGTATAAAACAATTCTATTTAGGATTTAATAAATAGTTCATTAACGACTATTTTGGTCCTATTGTTTACTAACATATAATAAAATCTTATCCTGGGCTCTCACAATTTGAAGATTGTGTAATTTGTCTAGAGTCTTTGAAAGATGGAAAAACTTTAGAGCTAAAATTTTGCTCAGTTACTCCATGTTTTCATATTTTTCATTAATAATGTTTAAGCACTTGGTTATAAAAGTAGCGAAATTGTCCATTCTGTAGAAAAGAATTTTATAGAAACTAAATTTAAAATCAACATCCTTGGATAGATTCATCTAAAGAAGGAAGAAAAAGTATTTAAGAATAAAACTCTTAATATCTATAAAGATTGAAACACACTCAAAATACGGATTAGTCGCAAGATTTTTAGTTGAATGAAAGTTAGTAAGATCTTGTGCATGGAAAAAATAGATTAACGGTTTAGAGTTGATATTAACTTATACAATATGCTCATGAAAAATTATGTAATTTTATAAACTTCTTAACTAATAACTAAATATATTTTCAAATACCAAATTTTATTTAAACTTTACCAAAAAATTAACTTTAATTTTATATTGATTTGATAGATTATACATACACTAATATAGTTCTTATAATTCTAAATTAAATAACTTATCATGACTCTCGATTTTTTGAGATTTAAAGACATATAATAATTTTAGGATATATCCTAATAATTTTTTACAATAATATTTAAATTATCTTTTCGTTTTACAGACTAAATTCTTCTACTTTTACTTTTTTTAATATTATCTATCTTGCTTCTTATTTTCACTCCTTCTTTTACTAGAAATTTAGATATTTATTAGATTGTCTTTTATGGAATTTTTTTAATTATAAATTAAGAAAAGAGGCAGTAATAAAATATTAAAATCATTTATTAAGATATTCATTTTTAATTGATTGAACAACTTGGATCCAATTTATTGGCTTTGCTTCTGCATCCTTGAATTTATAAAAAAACGAAGAAGATTCTAAAATCTTATAATTTCTAAACTAGGTACATAATGAACACCATCATTCGATATCTTAATGGTATCGTCAATAGGCAAATATTTTTTTTCTCCTTTGATAAAATCAATCAATAGACAGGGAGGTTTTAAATATCCAAATAGAATTGCAATCTAAGGAATGCAAAACCATCTATTTGTATTTAAATAAATAAAACCAACACATTTGTCAAAATGCTTAAAAACTGAATTACAATTAGATTCAGTATCTTAATTACTTGGAGATTGAGTTATTGTGCGTTCTGGTTTAAAAACTGGTTAATATGGAGTGCAATAGATTTTTTATGGTCTTATTAATCCATTAGGAATTGGAGTTATAGCTTCATCTAATTCTTCCATAATAGTTTTTAATCTATCTTGTTTTTTCTTAACTAGTTCTTATTTCATCTAAATATTTGCAGGTGTAAACTCCCATAAAATACTTGTTTTACTTTGGCTTGGTATTATTTCTTAAAACAACCCCTTATATTCAAGTGGAATTTCTATTTAAGTTTGCCAAGGAATATAGTCCTTTCTTATGTCTTAAAAATATTAATGTTAAATTATCATTTTAGAATCATCTTATCCTAATCTTTCTAATGGATTCAATACCAATAAAGAACGAATAAGATCTTAAGCCTATTCTGGTATTGATTCATTTATTTTATAATTCAGATTTAAAATATTGTTGAAAATAGCATTTTCACTTATATCAGTGAAAGGTTATTTTCCATGATAAAACTATATAAATATTATGCAATACTTCATACACTATACAACCTAAAGCCCATAAATCTGCTTCTTTAGATGCTCTACTATTATTTAACATTTCTGGTGAGATGTATTCTGGTGTTCCAACAAAATTTGATCGAAATTAAGTTGATTCACTCTCAATTTTTTTAATAGATCTTACATGACTATTCTAATATTTCCTAATTTATTCAATTAACTCATGTGGCTACTTATTTTCTTCAAAAAAAAAACATGTTGCAAAATCAGTCAATTTTAAGTTGTAATTTTTATCAATTAATATATTTTTAGGTTTAATATCTAAGTGAGCAATACCTTCATTATGCAAATATATTATGGCTTAAGTTATTTGATAAATGTAAACTTTAATGAAATATTCAAGTTCTTGAGATTGAGTATTAATGTAAAACTAATAAACATCCTAAATAATATTTCCTAAATCCCCAAAAGGACAATGCTCACTTACAAAATATAAGTATTATTTGTCTTAAAAGCTTCCAATAAATTCAACCAAACCTTAAGTATTAAGTAAATTTGTACTTGGATGTTTTTATGAATATTGCTTCATCATATGTCTTTCAATATAAATCTCTGATTATTTATTTGACAAAGTAATAGATTCTTTATAAACCTTTTTAATGGCTACTTTTCTATTATTTTTTAAGTATATAGCCTCATAAACTTCTGAATAAGCACCTAGATTACTATTTTCAAATATACCTTCACCAATTAGACCGACAATGTAGAAACTCTTGATATTCATTTTCTTCTCATTTTTTAGTTGGTTCTATAACTAAATTCCTTTCATAACAAAATTTAATTTTTTATAAATACATCAGAAATATTTATAAATCAACTTTAAACGATGGCGTTATAAGTTTTTTATATACAAATCTTTGCCATTATCTCATATTTAAGCAAAGATCAAAATTTAAAGAAGTGACTATTTTATATTGATTATATTTTTTATATAGTGTTTCATAAACATTCTTAAATAGTAACTATTAAATGATTGATATTTTAAATTTATGAGAATGTCATTCTTAAAGATTGTTATGTTGGTGTAGCTAATGGTTATAATTTATACAAACATGGTTATTAAATAGATATAATAGTTGAACAATTGAAAAGTAAGGGAAAAAAGATTATTTAAATAGAGTAGTCATTTTGGACTCGAAGAGAACTAGAAATTATTAGAATTTAAAATTTTATGTTTATTCTCCATATTTAATCAATCAATCTTGAGGAGCCTCTATTGGTTACTAATCTGTTATATTGGCTTTAAAGAATTCATTGTCTACTTTTTGATTTCTGGCAGCCACGAGCTTGGCTAATTTAAGTTTCTTATAGTAAAGAAGAGCAGCAATCATCAAGGATACTCCAACAACAGAGCAAACAACAGCTACTACAATGGTTACAGTAGCAGAACTTTCTTCAGTTTTCTTGATAGATTTTGAAATGGTTCCTGGATTAGTAGAATTATTATTATTTCCACTGTTTGAATTTTCTTATAGATTGACACCTTCGTCAGTTAATAGAACCAAATCCTCATCATTATTATTATTATTATTATTATTATTATTATTATTATTATTATTGTTATTGTTATTATTATTGTTATTATTATTATTATTGTTTCCATTATTTCCAGATCCACTATTTCCTGTATTGCCTCCTGGAACTAAAATGATTTCTAAAAATAGAAATTATAAAATTACCTGATGTTTATTCAGTGCTCTTGAAATTAAGCTCTGAAATTGAAGAAATGGTAGTAGCCTCATGTTTAAGACCAACAACTCCTATTGATTGTAAAGCTTCTGAGACAGTTAAGGTTTCTAATTGGGAGGCCAATTCAGCAAGTCTTGATTACGATTATTTGCCCTCAGATGTACCAATTTCAGCAGAGTCAGCAATACACCAATCAACAACAACTGATTGAGTTTCTTCTGATAAAAATCTTCTCCTGTATTTCTTGGTTCCAATGATGAAATAATTGTAGGGATCTCCTCCTAATTATGCTCTGGCATATTATAAGAATTTATCACCAAAGAATTCAGAAGTAGTAATTTCAAGTCTTGTTGAAACTTAAAGTGTATTTTTCAATGCTATTCTAATTTTACAATCTAATTTTCCTGTGAGAACGAAATGAATGGTTCTATTTTCAAAGAAATAATTATTTGCACCACATTAATCAGTCATAGTCATTAGATCATGATGCTTATTATGTGTTGTAAGTCCAGGCTGAACAACTTTGTTATTGACCATAACTTATATAATTTATGGAACAGAGAATTGCCATTTCAAAATAACCCAATCTTCTGGACTACCTGCTTCTGATCTTTTAGATAACCAATATTCAGATTAAGTTGGATTCATACCAGCATTTGTCATATTAATTACTGAATTCACAGATATTAAACCTACAAATTTAGATTCTCTTAAGTTTAATGGCTCAGGACCATCCCAACTCCATTCAAAATAACTGTTGATTTCATTAAAGAATAATCCATCAGTCAATTTAATTGGTGAATATAACCTCTTGTTAAAATCAGCTGCTGTACTCATAAACATCAAAACTGTAGCCTTTCTACCTGGACACCAAAATCCATTCCAAAAGTCTTGTCGTTAGCAATAAGTAACATTTGGTCCAAAGTATTTGTTATTACCAATACCTTAACCAATTTCTCCAAAGAAGTGACCAGTTTAATCTTCTACTAAAAAGTTGATTTATCCTGTACATTCAAATGAACCACATCCTCCAAACCATCCCAATTTGTTCATATCAGGATTCCTAGTCTTATATAATAAAGCATTGAATTCACAATTATTGCATGGGGAATTAACTAAATAATGTTATCCTGTCATATCATGAGCCCCATGATGTTATCTCAAAGCAGCATTATCCTTACATCTTGGTATATTATCATAAGTTAATCTAAAGTTGTGAAATTCTACATTAGTTAAATAAACTCTCAAATCAACTCTCTAAATTGTGCATATAGTATCATATGCAGTGGAGGGTTTTCCTGAAATTGGAGGAAATGATGAGGAAGATAAAGTACCCATTTATATACCCATACTACCCCTACAGTTTGGATTTAAAGAAGCAGAATAACATTTAATGCACTCTGGTCTTGCCAAAGCAGAAACGAAGATATTGGTAAGCTTCATTTTATTATCTTAAATACTATTTGGAGCAGGTTTTAATGATATACCTCTATCATTCTCAACTACAATTGAATTCTCTAGCTAAATCTACTCACTGATCACTGCATACATTATACCTACTTCGCTGTGATGTGCATGCAATCCTTATATGTATGTGCATCTACCCTCTGGATCTTATCGAACACCAAAGCAAGCCAAAACAGATCCTGAACATTGATTATTATAGAATGATGATTAATAAGCATCTGAACATTTACTAGCCATTACAAAGAATCCTGTATCTTATGATCCTTATCCTACATTTCCGGATACATCAAAAATATCTCTTGTCATTTAAGTTGGTCTTAATTCATCTGAGTAAACAAAATTACCAAATACAGCCCAATTAGCAATACCTCCATCTTATAATACTCTCTTCTTCACATAAATCAAAGCATTATTCTAGAATTTCACATATTGACTGTTATTAATTTACACCAAAGCCTTTATACCTGTGAAGAATATATTATTCTTTATTGTTATGTATTATGAATTTTAAATTGTCATCAACATACCTGTTGTATCATGGAATGAACATCCAACTACTTCACTAGGAGTCTTAATAATATCACTATTAAGATTTCTAAAATCTAATCCACTTCTTTATGTATCAAATTAACCACAATTATTAAATTCAACACCATGTAATACAGTATATCCTCTTCTTGGGAATCCTAAATTAGCCTCAGGCTCTTCAAACTAATAAATTAAAACTCTGCATCCTAATCCATGAACACTGGGTCCTCCTTCAATCTTAATTTTTCTAGTTAAATGACCAACAACTGCTCTCATATCTAATTGTCCAATACCTGGTTTATCAATAGTTACTGAAGGAGCTCCATAATGATCAAATTCAAGAGCTGAATTTAAAGTTATGGAACATCCTGAAATTGCTGCAATAGTTTTCTTTTCTCTTTATTCTGGATCACTGCCTGAAGGTCCAAATACAATTTCATCTCCAACAGCCCAACCAGCACATTCAGCAACTGTAATAGTTGTTGTACCAGCATCAGCATAAGTAGACAATCTAGTCCATACTGTTCCTGGTGGAGTTGAATATAATTCCATTGCTCTTGTAACTGCAAGAACCTTATTTCCAACATCTAAATTAGCATCAATTACTAATGG